CAAAGAAACAAAATCCAGAAACAACAAAAACTTCATTTCTCTGTCGATATCTTGGCATACCATATATTCTCTCTCTTGACAACACCAAAAGCAAAGACAAGATTCTTTCCAAGCTCAAGACCAAACATACTCTCACACCAGCCAAGCCAAGCCTTCCAAGATGAACCAAGAGAAAAAAAAGAAAAGAACAACACATCTCTCTTCCCTTGGCACATCTGCCCTGTGTTGCAGCAACCGCATCTACCCACCCATGCGCACACGGCACGGCGCTGCTCTTGCTTACTTGCTTACCTGCTTACTACATACATACATACTTACTGCACAAGGTTAACCATGCACCCACCTCGCATCTCGAATTTCTCCGTGCCTTGGTAATCCGCCTCATCCTTGACATGCACACACACACACACTCTCTCTCTCTCTCTTTCTCTTTCTCTTTCGTGCGCCTAATGCTGACACTGACACTTGACACTGGCGCCGGCGCTGCTGTTGGCGTTGGCGTGGACATGTCACCAGCACCAGCACCAGCACCAGCGCCAACGCCAACACCAGCGCTAAGCAAGACTAATACCAATGCCAATGCTGATGCTGATGCTAATCCCAATTTCCATCACGATATGATATTGTGACCCCTATCCATTTTAACTTTTTTGATTTTGGTTATTTTTGACGACTCACAACTGACAAACTCATGAAATGACAGTGACATGGACATGGGCATGGAGACCGAGACGGACCACCAACATTATTGAAACCTCACGCACCATCTTAATGTTTAATTCCAAGCCCCCTACAAATCATAACACCAGTACCAGTACCAGTACTAGTACCTGTATCAGCCACGCACACCACACACACAAGAGTACCAAAAACCACCCCTCCATCATCCATCATCCCCAATCCACAACAAACCATTTGTTTCACCAACCCGCTGATCCCAATACCATTTCAGAAACGCCCCCCCCCCTCCCCCTTTCTTTCTTTTCACCCCCCTCTCATCTACCTAAAAAAAATTCCACTGTAAATATCTACCGCACCACGTACCCGAACACATATGTATCTATGTATATATGTATATATGTACTCGCAGATCCCTTTCAAACTCAGAAGCCAAAAAAAATCAAATATATTTCCAACGAGCAGGATACTAGTATACCCAAGCATCAAGGACTATAAATCACCTACTGGGATTTACTCGGATGAAAATCTACATGTTATGAGTGGGCCGTTACATACACACGTGCATGGATAGAATAACCACCACCAAACCAAACCAATCGAATCCAAACCAGACGATGGAACATTAGAAGGAATAATAGAACACCCAAAAAAACATGCATCTATGCATAACCTACAGTAGTCTACTCTAGTCTAGTCTAGTCTAGTCTAGTCCAGGCCGGCAAAAGGGAAAAAACACAAGTTCCAAAAATATCCAGGGAATATGCCCACATGCTCAACGGACAAGCGACAAGGAACAAGGAACATGGAATAACGAACAAGGGACATGGAATATGCATTATGGGCGGGCGGGAAAGTTTTTTTTTTTTTTTTTTTTTCTGTGCGAGGTATAGTGCTAAGGAAATGACGGGAACGGAACTAATTCAGGGGACTAGCTAGGTAGCTAGGTAGTTGGTTAATTAGTACCATGAGAGCGAGACTAAGAATGAGCGACTGACCAAGGGAAGGGACTAAGCAGAGACTAATATCAACGACTAAATCAGCGAATCAATCAGCGAATCAATTAGCCATCAGTCTCACGAGAACAAATATCAATCTAAAGTAGACTGCTTCATCACTCAAGTACTACTGCATTCCTACACTATTCATGACAGCAACAGAAAACATGTATGTCACAGTTTTTACCAAATTATATACATGCTTCAATACCTTTCTTTTTTTATTAACCCAACAGACCCATAACAATAGCTAACTATTTCATCAGCAAACAAAGTCTAATCCATAGTTACTACTTGATAATTACTACTCCATATTACTACCCACATCACACCACTACACCTACTCCTGCAAACCCTCAAATCGACTCGGTATCCTCAACAACTTCATCTTCTTCTCTCCCACTCCCTCTCCCTCTCCATCACCCTCATACCCCTCATACCCCCTCCCATTCATCCCATTCATCCCACCCGGCACCCCCGAAACATCAAACTCCTTGCTCCAGTTTTCTCTAACAAACTCCAACGTGCGTGCAAACACAGCCTCGCGCTCCCTCCGCTCGTGCTGCGGTACAAACGTATCCGGAAACTGTGTCCATCCGTGTCTGCAACCCGGTGCGTGCCAGACCTCGAGTCCGCCATTCTTGGCATCCGACCCTTTGCACATGGCGCCGCCGCCGCCTTGGCTCCCCGCTTGTCCGTTCCAATCCCCCTCTCGCCCGTCGCCGAAACGCACTGGGCCTTTCCACCCACTATTATTCATCTTGTCCACCCAAACGTCGCTCTGCACTGCCAGCGTGTCTTTTTCAGGCAGTACCAGAAAAATCGCTGCATTCTTCTGGATGTTATCCGGATTGTTGAGCCCGGGACTCGCTCGCGGATGTGCCCGCAGTTTTTTCGGTAGGTACGTAGGCCCCATGATTGAAAACAGTCCTGGCCGTCTCGGCTTCTCCATGTGATGGTCGTCTGGCTTGAGCGCCTTGGGCATCGGCTTCATTGGCCGTTCGTGCGGCAGCAATCGCGCATCTAGGGACGGATAGAAAAGCAGCAGTGGTATCATCCGTGGTTGGGCTGAAGGCGGCGGCAGGAGTGAGGGCCAGCACTGAAACGGGTCATCCAATATCGTAGCACGGCGATTTTCTGGCATCACCGGCGACATGGTATCGACGGGCGCAGGCCCTCGTGTGCGCGAGTGAGGGCCAAAGCTGGTCGCCATGCCAAGCTCCGGGCAAGGCGGCACTGACAGGGCCATGTTGAGTGCAATATTGCCTCCTGCCGAGAAGCCTGATATCGCCAGCCGTGTTGGATCGAGCGTGATATCGTTGACGTACTCCATGTGTCGAGGAACAGGCTTCTTTTTTTTCTTCTCCAGCGCATTCGACCGCACCATGGAGTAGTACCGCTGTATCTCTTCGCGCAAGACCTTGCCTGCCTTTGACCCTCCATTCGTGTCCAGAATCGCCGCAAGCACGTCCTCTGCATCGTGTATCGCCGCGGGGAACTGGTTGAAAGGACCTATGCGGTACGATACGCTCAGCACCACCGCGCCAAGCTCACGAGACATCATGGACGCATACGGCGCCTGCTCCAGCGGCGATCCCATAATGAAGCCGCCGCCATGTACTGTAGCACGCAGTCAGTGTACCTCGACTTGCATCTCGTGACGGGGTCTACAAACAGTCTAGGACCACGGGTACGTGCCATTCGCCCGTCTCTTTGCGCTGCTGCTCGTCATCGCCGTCGCTCTCCAAATCCACAGGCGCGGGCGGCACAAACGTGTACACGTAGATGAGGGTGTCCTTGCGGCTGGGCAGCGAGATCAGGAAGGGATGCGGTCCCTTGGGCGACGTGTAGTGGAGGATGGACAGCGGCACGAATCGCGGGAGCTGCACCAGGGCCGTTCGCCACTGGATGTGGAACGGGAGGCGGAAGAAGTATGCAATTGAGTGCCAGTAGCTACCCATTGTGACGCGCGCATACAGGTGAGAGGGCGGCGGTCATGGTGGAGGAGGAAGCTGGCGAGCGGCAGGCGGGCGCAGGCAATGCTGAGTGAGCAGCTGGCGCGCGCTCAATGTGCTAGGCAAGTGCCCAGATGGAAGGCACGGCCACGGCAGCCATGGCTGATGGAGTCGTGTGACGTCAGTGGTTGACGTTGGTGGACCTGCGCTGGCCTGGCCTGCAAACTCGAAAAGTGGATGTGGCGTTGCGAGGCTTGCGGGCCGCCCAAAGCTTGGCTGGGCGAAGCTTTGCCCGGGTGCTTGATCCGTCGAGACTGCATAACCATCTTGGTGTTTTTGAGCATTGTAATAGTTCCAGAAGAGAACGCTATCTCGATACTATCTCCTCATTGTCACGCACTGCCTGCCATCGTCCCAACTCCACATCATGCACAGCTACTTCACATGTACTTGGCATTTGTATACAGACTAGTCGGCTATATCACCATCCCACAAATGTCCTCTCCTCTGCTTCTAACATTCGTAATGAAGCCCTGCCATGCCAAAGAAATCTCGTCATCGCATCGTATCGTGAGGCCACTCATCATGCCTAGCGTCGAGCGAAAAAGCTCAAGGCGCAGGCGGTGACGACGAGCCGTAAATACCAGGCAATAGAGCACTCTCACTCTTTGAGTAGAAAAGTGGCCCGCTACCTTACCGCAGTTACCAGGTAGCAAGCTTGTCCTCGGCATCGGCAGAGAAGCCCTCACCACCGCCAAAGCCAGCACCGCCAGCCGCCTCACCTCCAAAGGTGGCGTTAGCATCAAAACCGCCAGCATCTCCACCTGCCTCTCCACCAAAGCTGCCACCAAGGCCGTCGTCCGACTCTTCATCGGTGCCGTCATGCCAATCGATAGCTGTGGGGTCTTCGGGCATGTGGTGCTGAAGGAAATCAGGCACCTCCTGCTTCGCCTCGATCAGTGTCTTGCAAAGGTCCTTGCCGAGATCATCGTTGCGGTCATTGAAGAAAGAAGTCGCCTTTCCCTGGTTTCCGATACGTGCGGTACGGCCGATGCGATGAACGTACTCGGTAATACCACCGTGGAGAGTCGACGGCAGATCGTAGTTGATGACATGCTTGACGTTGGCGACATCGAGACCACGAGCAGTGACACCAGTGGCCACCAGAATAGGGCAGCGGCCCATTCGGAAGGAGCGGCTAGTAATATATCAGTAGTGCCCGGCCCCAAGGATCCACAAGCACTCACAGAGCATCCTCACGCTCACGCTGAGTACGGTCAGAATGAAGCGAGGTGACGGGCAAACCCTTGTTGTACAGGAAGTCGTCGACCATGTCACACTTGACCTTGGAGTTGGTGAAGACCAGCGATCGCTGGGGTCCCTCGGAGAAGATCAAGTCGAATAGCGCCTGGTTCTTCATATTCTCATCGACCCAAACTATCTGCTGCTTGATGTTGCCATGGGTGCTGCCGACTCGTCCTACCTTGATTCGAACACAGTCTTCATCCATGTACTCCTTGGCCAGTCTACGAGCGGCCTTGGAGAATGTAGCAGACAGCATGACGATGGTATGGTCAGCATCGGCGTTCATGTCTTGATAGTCATCAGTAAATGCCAGAAATAAGGAGCCGACTTATCGTACCAGCACCCGAGAACAGCTTCTCCATGAACTCCTCCCAGCCTGTCGAGAGCAGCTCATCAGCTTCATCGATGACTGTGAACCTGTAGGTTCGGTTAGCATAATTTCACTCCACAACAAGGTATTTGACTCACTTGAGGCGGTGGAATGAGAGTAGCTTGTTGTTCTGCATAAAGTCCATGAGGCGACCCGGAGTCGCAACGAGAATGTCACAGCCCATCTCAAGTTGCTCGCGCTGATTCTTTGTAGGGGCGCCTCCGTAAACGACACAAGGACGCAACATTGTGCGATAGCACAGGCGGCGCGCTTCGTCGAAGATCTGAGAGGCAAGCTCGCGGGTAGGACAGACAACCAGGACCAGCGGTTCGGCGCGAACTCTATCTGTCAGAGGGTTGTAGCGGGCAGGATTGGGTCGCGGAGCAGCCAGCTGACGGGCCTTGCCCATGAGCTTCGACAAGATGGGGACGAGGAATGCGGCCGTCTTGCCAGACCCTGTGTGGTTTCAGCGATGTGCCGAGTGAGAAACCAAGCTGAACTCACCAGTCTGTGCAATGGCGACCACATCGTTACCAGTCAATATGGAAGGGATGCAATACGACTGGATGGGAGTCGGGGCGATGTACTGGCACAACTTGACGTTCTCAAGCATGACTGGATGCAGACCGGCATCTTCGAACTGCATCGATTAGCAAGTCAAGAATGGAAGCAAAGCACAGTGACTTACGTCGCGGACAGGATTGATCTTGGTAGGGCCCTGGAGGGTGACGTTGTACGAGAGAGCATTGATAGCACCACCGGCGCGCTGCAGGTACTCATCATGGAAGAGCATCTTCTCAAGCTCAGGGTTGGGCTCACCAACATCGCCAAAGTCGTCGTCCCACTGATAGATGGCGGCATCAGACAGCCAGGTGGCAGTCTCACGGCCTTCCTCTTGAGCGGGCTTGCCATTGGCGTCACCTTGGTACTCGAAGGGAATCGGATCAGCCCAGCCAGCCTGCTTTGCGCGAGCAAGGTCTTGTGCCTGCTGTTCCTTGCGGTCGACAGCAGTGCCAGAAACGGCATCTGGCGTGCCTGCGTCAGACATGGTTGAAATGGAGATGAAGTAGTAGTTGTGCTAAACGAGGTTGAGGTTGAGAAGGTAAGTGGAGAGCGTAGCGTGTGAGGTGAGCAAACTGCAGACGAGAGTGGCAAAGCTTGGCTGTTTGTGTAGTGAAGAGAGGCAGGAGCAGCGCGCCGTAGCGTGCCTTGGCGCGATTCTTTGAGCTGGCACTCATGGTGACTGCGACAGGTGAGGCGCTAGAAGATTCGGCAGTGGAGGTGAGAGTATATGTGAAGGTGAATAGTATGAATTATGCGTGGAAGACTCGCGTTGTGTAGGCTGGCGTCGGGATCCGAGCGCAATGTGGGAGACGAAGGATGTGCAGTGAGGAGTATGACTTTGGTACTGCGTATGGGAGAAATTCCAAATAGCAATTATCTTTCAACAAGGAAGCATATTCCAACAGAGTAGGTCAATAGTGAAACAGTGAGAGAAATAGCCACTCAGTTTTCCTGAGGACGGCATATGTGAGAACGATGAAGATGATACATGCTACTCATTCAAGATAGCCATTACCAGACTCAATCTCATCAACAATGCTTTACCCATGCGAGGTAAATTTGTAGGAGTACAAAGAACTGTTACGACCCGTACACCCCTATAGAAACCCAACACAAGATGTTGTGAGACACCAGCGTATTAAAGGCACTTATGATAGTGGACATAGTCTCGATAGCAGAAGCATGTCTCTCTCCGCTAGACCAGCGGAATGAAGTAGGCTGAGCGTTGAATTTGACAAAGAAAACCACTGCAGACCAGAGACCAGAGCCACAGCTTGGACGGACGTAGTGGCAATCAGGTCTACGTTAGAGGCAGTGTGCTCAATATACATGGGACTCAGACAACCACTCATCTTTCGCACTAGCTTCTGCAAAAGCGTTGGATCGAAGGACAACTATCACCTTGCAGGACATCGAGACATACCTAAGCTTCGACACTCTCAATCACCAGCAGACCTTTTCAATCATCTTATTGCTTTATATTTCCACAGTTTGGCATTGTACATACTTCTACAAGAATACATCTAGCTGTGCTCTAAATATCGCCTAGCACAGATTCTACCTCGTCTAAATCAATTGCATTTAATACAAAACATAAAGAAAGGAAAGTGGATGTCAAGTACAAAAAAGTGTTGAACAAAACATGCGTGCAGAGTTGAAGTTTCTTGAAAAAGAATCCGCACATCAAGACTGCTCAAGTGCGGTTACTCCACGCGCTTCCTGCACGTGCGATTCTTGAGATACTAGAGTAGGCAGAGATGCTGAATATGGCGACGTGTGATCAAGGTACGTGTTGAAGAATTCCTTGACCTGTTGATTGGCGCCACCAAGGTTTCTTCTTGGGATGCCGACAACCTTGAGACCATTGAGAGAACGCGCTCGGCTGACTACATGTTTTTGTGTTAGCACAAGCAATGACGAGATGATTGAGAAATTGTGCTTTGTTGCAACTTACGAGCGACGTATATCTGACTCGCTTCAAAAGCGTCGCTCAGATCGACAATGACACGATCCAACGTCATTCCCTGTTGAGCTGTTAGAATGAAACCGACATCGGAATTGAGGAATCTTACCTGTGACTTGTGCACAGTGATAGCATAGCCTGCCATAAGTGGAATTTGCGTTCTGGACAGCAGGCTGCACTCCTTCTGGACTTGAGAGTCGCTTTTCTTTTTCTCTTCGTTCCCCAGCTCGCTATAGGAACAGTCGGCGAAAATGGTCTCTCGTTGACCGTTGTCGAATTGAACAATTGGCCACGGCTGGTAATTGTTCACGTGAGCAAAAGCCTTGATTTCGCTCTCCATGTATTTGGCGTGTTCGCCTTTAAGGCCGCCATCTTCACTCTCTGTCCTTTTGGCTTTACGAGGGAGCCTGTTAGGATCAAAGTCCTCGAAACCAACAACAACGCCTTGAGATCCGTTCACGAGACCAGCCTCAGGGTTCAAGTTGGACTGCAACACCACACGCATGCCTTGTTTCAACTGCGAATATGCTTCATAGCGGTGCTCTTTCTGTGAAATTTGGTCAGTGTTGTCCGCCAGGGAAATAAGGGACATCATACCAAGTACCACAGCGTATGGCCGTTGTATTCTTGCTTGGTATATTTTTGCAACGACAAATCATCGCGGTGGTGTTCTTTCCAATCAAAGGTATCCTTGCATTGATACTTGCGAGCTACCGAAGGGAGCTTAGCAATGTTCTCATTATTGACACGGTCCACTTCCCGACGCAATGCAAAGATCTTGATTGCGTCTTTGGTTTCTGAGGGGTGGTGGAGCAGGAGGTTGGCATGATTTTCAACAATCATACCATCTGTCACACGTTAGTACCTAGGAGAGAAGCTGCTACTGGTCTTGAAAAAGCCAGCAATTTGACTATATGAACAATGGAACAAGGCTACAACAAACTTACCTCTGCGGATCTTTTGTAAGATAGCGATGAACTTTCGGTCGGTTTGTCGGTGGATTTCGGTGAGGTTGACATGTTCAAAGTTGCATTCCTAATGTTGTTAGCCCATCCGAGTCATGGTGTTTGCTAGAGAAGGTTGGCATACTGCCCACGCTTTGCTACGGAAAGCCCACTTGTCCGCATCCGGCCACACATCGTAGCGGCATTTGCGATTCTCGCATCTGTGTTGCAATTCGCCGTCGTTCTCTTCATGGATGAGCTCCCAGCCACATCCTATGCAATAGAGAAATGGCTTGACTGGGGAAAGCTGACAAAACTACGCACATCAGCAGCTGCTTGTAGCAGATGACAGCAACCGACTTACATCTCCAGTGACAACAATCTGAACACCTCCAAACGGGCCCCCGCCGCGATTCTTGTTCCCCAAACTTGCTTTCATGATTTCATTCAATCGCTCAAATTGGAGGTTCTCAACCATGCTGATTTCATCAATGACGAGGACATCCGTCTGATCGAATCTCGCCCAGACTTGCTTTCCAGAAGCACTGCGCTTCAGCTGCTCCAGGGGTTTCTTCATACTGTCGGGCGTCCACCCAGCGTAGGCCCATGTTGTCTGTCCCCCGACATTCAATGCTGCAAGGTTTGTTGGCGCTACGATTTTGACTTTCTTGCCTTGTGCTTTCAGCTTTTGAACAAAAGCTTTAAGGATAGTAGACTTTCCGCATCCAGCAGATCCAGTGTAGAAAACGTTTTTCTGGCCGTCAACAATAAGATCAACCACCCGCCTCTGTTCAGCAGTCAATATTGGTTCAGGCTCGGGTACATAGTCGTCTTCTGGCATGTCTTGAAACCGGGCGCTTCCCGCGGTATTTTGCTGCACTGAAATCCACTCTGGTGGGGATGACGGTGGGCCATCTTCTGCAGGCTGGAGACTTGTCTCCCATGATGGTGTCGGCGCAGATGAGTATGGGGGAGGAGGTGATGATGATGGCGTCTGGCGTGACATGCATTCATCCTGTGAACTGGCCTCGTCCAGTTTCTGCTGAAATGCTCTTTCAACAAAGTGTCTATTGGCGTTTATAAAAGCCCAAGCCTCGTTCTCAGTATCGAATTTCTTGTGTCGCGCACTAGGATACCCTGAAACTTGCTTCTGAGTGGAGGGCCAATCTGTGTAGATACCAGGGACTCTCCCGTTAGCTACTGCATAGTATTTGATCTTGCTCAGGCTGGGGGTTGCCCTCTGAACATAGAGCCCCGCATGTCTCAGGTCTCTGGGGAGATTAGGTCGCGCGCGGGGAGCGTATTTTGCTTTTGGTGGATGTCTTGCTTGGGGTCCTGGGCTAAAATCAATCTCCAATGGATTGTGCTGGGTCCCATACCGCATTGCGTTGTGAGATTGTGGATGAGCAGGCGCTGTAGAGAGCGGAATGAAGCTTTCTGGCGCAATGCCTTGTCTCGCTCGCTTTCCATACATATGGTGTTGCTCTTCTTCACACCTTCTCTTCAGCGAACCCTGTTCCATAGTATGGTTCGATTGCGGCGCAGGTACCACCGGGGGTATGTTCTCATCGTGCGCGGGGCTTGGCGATCGCGGGCGATCGGCGTATATAACATAAACGTCTTTTGAAGGAGCGTATTGTAAAGGAGTGTACGGCTTGAATTGCGGCAGCTCATGGGTTGGAGCAGCGCTAGGATTTGGTTCAGACATGGCCAATGCTGCAAGCCAAGGCGTTGTGTAATCTTGGTCTAGATGCGATTGGATATAGGAAATATTGATACCGTTATAGGCAGGTCTTTTGGATATGAAGTAGCGTAGGACTATGAGCGCAGTAGTTCTTGCAGAGGATGGACGGCGTGGCACGACTACGTGGTAAAGCCTCTTAGAGAAGTATGAAAATTGCCGTGCAATGGCGGAGACTGATATGAATGTGAAAGAAAAGGCCAATGAAGGAACGGCAGATTGGGTGGCGCTGGACGGTTGGTGGCGACGCGATAGGGGGAGAGAGGGGCCATACTATGCCGCCATCAATCGCGTGGTTGACGCGACAACACGCGTCACCCGCGTGCCCCCTGCGCCGTTCGCGTTCCAGAGTTGACATGCACCATGGCACGATACTATTAATTCGCTCAATTGATTTGCTCAAACAACTTGCTCTGCGATTACACATGTTTTGGGTCACGCTATAATCATTCCTCAGCGCCGACAGAGGCTTCAGATGCACCTCGACTGTCGCTTTGTGCCCCTTTGTGCTTTTTGCTTGCATTCCCGCCTTTGGTGCGCCTCTTGCCCGGCCATCCCGGCTTCGCTGCGATGGGCTGTAAGAAGCCGTCAATGTGCACGCCTCCAACCATTCTCTCCTCATTGTCAGAGTCATTAGTCCTAGGATCGTACCCGTGGACTCGTATGCAGTGTTCAACCACACGATACGACTTTGCAAAGTCTTTCTCGTGGCCAAAGCAATCTGTGTGCGGGCATTTCATGGTGCCAGGCTGGAACAGTGGGCGTTTCTCGGTTGGATTCCCATTGGCTAACGAAATGCTTGGAGTTGGTATGGTAGACGGAGTGTAGTGTACTGACTCAGGGACGGCTTTCGATGCCAACGACTCGTCCAACGGTATAAATGACATGCTTTCGCCGAAGAGAGCAGCACAACGTTGGGCTGTACGCGCAATGGCCCCGCTATTCCAGCCCTTCACAGCTGCGAGCCCAAGCACCTCGCTCCAGTCCAGCAAGCCTTCTCTCAACTCTTTGTCTTGAACTGTTGAAGCATCGCTATCGCTCCCACTGCTTGAGGATCTGCGACGCTTCCGTAGAGACTGCTCCTTATGGGATGCTTCCCAGTCAGATGCGCCGCCAGAGCTAGCATCACTCTTCGCTGCGTCCACCTCACCATTGTCTCCCGTCCCTTTTCTTATAGCACGACTAGTTTGTACCAAGCTCGTACGTGAGGAAGGCCTACTGGTGGGCCTACGGCTTGTGGACTTTCTTGATTGAGCTCTTGATGAAGACCTCGAAGGAGGCCCGCTTGATTCCGCTCCCGATGTAAACTCGCTCATGGAAGAGCCGGCTGATCCTCCTCGACCAACGTGGTTGGCCCGTGTTCGGTGAATAGCCCATGCAAGTTCGTCTAGCCGACTCATGATGGACTGTATTGAGGGTTGCAGAAGCTGCTTCGCTTTCATATCGTCGGCCAGAATATCCGGCTTGGAGAATGTGCCAAGTTGGGGTTTTCTGCCCCGTTTCTTCCCAGACGTGCGGTCTTGCTCCGCATCACTCTCGTACCCTGTAGTCTCTCTATCTGCGTCACTCTGGTCGTTCATTCTGACATTAGTACGGGACATGGAGCGTGATTGTGATGATTCGGCAGATTTAGATCGCGACCGGCTTCGTGAAGTCTGAGAATCATCTTCGGCGTCAGATTCTGACGAGGACGCGTCCCGTAGGTTCCATCGCTCTTTTGCCATGCGCAGAAAAAGTGCCAAGAGTTCTTCCCTAAGTTCCTCCCCCGCATCTTGTTTGCTACCACTTTCAATAGCCCATTCGTCGGGATGGTTTCCAACTAGCTCACTGTCTGAGCTTTCGTCGCTGCTTGACAACTCTGTAGGAGGTACTGGCCATGCTGTCCACTCTTTTGGCATTGCTAGAGCTGCCTGCACTAAGCCTGCCGCATCTGTGTACTTGAGGTCTTCCCCCGACTTCAGCCAGGTATCCCTGCTCTGCCAGTTCTTCAATCGCGCCATTTCTTCCGTGGGCCGTCGCAGCTGCTGCTTGAGCGCATGCGCATTGTACAGATGTGCCGAAAGGTCTGAGTTTTCCATCTGTTCGAGCGCCTCTGCGATCTGTCGTTCTGCCTCCGTATAGCCCTGCCATGTTTGCGGCTGTCCGTGGAATCGGTTTGGTCGCACAGGCTCATCCTCGTCTTCCTCTTCCGACTCCTCCTCTTCTGACTCTGTGTCGGTGTCTAGATCATCGTCTACATTCAAGGATATCGGAACATTGAGCTTTTGCGCCTCTTGCGTGTTGTGCGGTTCTGGAACCGAGACGACTGATGGTGACGAGCGAGATGAAGAGGATACGGAGGCGTCGGACTCGTATGAAGAGCGTGAGGGCGGCGCACTACCACCAAATAACGACATCTTGGTTGCAGTATAGGTCAAAATCAGCTGGCGGCTGTGCTGGTGTCGACATCTGGGTGCGGCGGTTCAGCGCTCGTGGGGCATCGGAGTCGCGGCCAGTTTTTTTTTGGCGGGGTTCTCGAAACCGACGCGAAGTCACGTTGGCGCCGCCGCGTGACCCCGACAGCCCTATTATGTTTCGATCACTTTCTCCTCCAACATCATTGGACTACTCTTCTACGCACCCGGACATTCGCTTTTTGACACTCAACACCCGTGGCTGGTTAATTTTATTCTGTTCAACAACTCTCCAACTCCATACATTTGAACACGCCCCTATTTACATGAATCCCCAACACCGGTTGACTTGGATCATCACAGACAATATGGCAACTACCTGCGATATTCTACAGAACGACCCAGCGAATACATGATTTTGCATTGTGCTGACTGGTTCGGCCATCGATCCAGCCAACCATGGGTTCTGAACGCCCAAGGATTGCACACCTCATATAATATTGTGTGCTGTCTCCCTTTGACCAGCACCAACGCGTTGCAAACATGTCGCAAATTTCCATGGGGATGGCTTCAGACTTCTGCCCATAAAAGCGCGCTCGAACCAGAGGCATCCGCACTCTTTCGACACCAGTCCGATTCCTCATACTCTCCGACATGCATGGTGCTGAGTTACCGCAAAACCTCCCACAATGCGAGGTGCTCCTTCATTGTGGCAATCTGACCGAACACGGAACTCCGCAAAGTATATCCTCAGCTCTCCAGAACTTGAGTAAGGTAGATGCCAGACTGAAACTTGTCATTGCCGGCAATCATGAAGTTTCACTAGATAGGCAATACTGGCTATCACATGGCGGACCAGAAGACGATGTAAAGCGAGCGCATGCGCTGGTTGCCTCAAATGGTGAAGCTAGCCAGTATGGAACCAATTTTCTCTCTGAAGGCACTCACACTTTCAACTTGCCATGCGGTGCCACCTTCAAAATATATGCCTCACCATATACTCCTGGGAATGGCGCTTCGGCACTCCAATACCCCTCGAGTAAGTATCGATCGGTTCAATCCTCCAAGTGCGACTCCATCGTGGGCAGACAATGCTGGCAACAGTACCTCAATCATTCCAGAAGACGTCGACATTGTCATGACTCATGGACCACCAAAGTATATTTCGGATGAGACCGGTGACGGCGATAGTGCAGGATGTGATCATCTATGAAATGCCATTGCGAGATTAAAGCCCAGGCTATATTGTTTCGGCCATGCCCATCTCGCGCGTGGAAGCTGGAATTATGAGGCGCACATATTGAAGTACGGAGCTCACATGGAACTAGACGATGACCCCGAGCCGATATGTCACATCTTCAAGGATTGTGTCGGGTCGAATCAAGCTCGCTGAAAAGGATATAGATGTCTGTCTCCAGGCGGCGCGGAGCTGTTTCGAGGGAACAGGCAATATACGCTGTGTGTCAATGCTGCGATGGAGGGCGACAAAGGAGTGCTTGAGCACCCACCGTGGCTTGTTGCTCTAGACTTGCCAGTAAGGAGCTAAAAGGAAGACTGGCTGGAGAAAACACTATCAACCTAGCCTAGGGTGCTTCCTCTCATCATCAAACTAGCGCATACAAAGCTGTGGTCCGCACTCCGTGGAAGCCGATCAGGCGTCCCAACCAGCGCAAGCAGCGTCTCGCGTTCGGTGTCCGCAACCCCCGAGGATGGCCTTACTGTCACACTACCTTGCATCGACAACCCAACCTCATTGGCGCATACGCCAATTTAACAATGACAGATACCCATGCGGCTGAGATGGGAAACATTCAAAATGCAGGCAAGGCGCTGCTCCAGGCCCATTCCTCAATCCGCCTTGTCCAGCCCAACGACACATACCGAAGGCAGTTGAACACCAACACCTTTGTCATTTACCCCAGCACCAAAAACTCTCTCAGACCAACATGACTGCCTCCTCCTCACTCGTGCTGTACCGTCCAACCTCACCAAACACAATGGCCATACGCTCCACCTCCAACACATTAATCTCGTCGCGACTCTTCACGCAAGCCACTGGCACCGCCATCGCCACCGAACTCCTGTACCGCATCCTCTTCGACATCATCAACCGCATGCTGTCTTCCCTGCAGCAACTTGCCGCGCGCGGCATGGACGAAGCCTCCACCTGGATGCACCGCAAGCTGCAAGAGCGCCGCGACAGGCTTGACGCCGCAAAAGCGAGTGCCCCCGCCGATGGCCTCAACATCGTGCAGGAGGTCGGCAAGCTCGCGGAAAAACAAGGCTTCGTCACGTGTCCGTTGACGGGGCATGTGATGGAGGCAAGGGGGGAAGCGAGACGGGGTCCCCCCGTTGGACCACCCATGTGGGTGCGAGGTGTGCTGAAAGGCATTGACGAGGGGAGGATATCCGAGAGGGATCTGTGGATCCAGACGCATGGAGATTGAAGAGATGGTCGAGCGTTTGGATGGGATTGCGACAAGTACGGCGCTATATCTGCGCCTTTTTCACGCCTTTTGCGGCAAGGCGCTGCTGGCATGAAGCACATGATGGTCGAAGACGGGACTTAGATTTCCTGATTGCTAAAACCATGGTTGCTCTGCAATGTCAGTGCGAGACTGCGAGCACTTGGATACCCGATGGACTTGCGGTGTACGGAAGACTCCCTTCTTCGAGTCGTAAAAACAGCCGGATCCGACATCACTGCGTCAACGAGCGACCAACCTCGCGGAAATTCCAATCATCGCATTTGGATACAGCTCGCTTCAATCTGAGATACTGGTTGAGTTGGGACACAGACTTGAGATTCCTCATGGACTAGTAACTCTGTTCATGGAATTCCGGACCAGACATTGTAGCGAAAATACATAGGATACTTCCCAGCGTCTTGAAGAAAACCACAAATGTGATAACCGTACCTTTAATCCCAGATTCAATGCATTCATATTCCATTCACTGCAAAAGACCTCGTCTGTACACACCATTCCAGCTCTCTGAAAAACCAATTTCCCACTTCCACACAGCAATGCTTCAAACATGTCTTCTCCTCGCCCACTCACTCAGATACTCTCTGCCTGCCAGCCTCCACGTATCCTCCTCGACATAACTTCCATTATACCCACGACCCGTTGCCTGAATAACGAGATTCAGTCCGTTTGCGCTCTCATTGTAGCGCGGCCAACGCGGCAAGTTCTCGCTATTTGGATCGCCCGTAGCAATAAAGTTGATCCACTGCGCACTCACATCATTGCTAAGCGCCTTGTATTCCGGCCAGGGGCCATAGAAGCGTGGGTTGTTAAATACGAACGCCACTTCTGTGAAGTGCGCAACGCCCTTGTATGCGCTTGCATTGCCGCCCACGTCGGCCGTGTTGTCGTTCTGCCAGGGCAGCGTGTTGAAGCGGTAGATGTAGGTTGGCGAGTACCTGGCGTAAGCGCGGGCGTCTGCAAGCCGCGGGGCGTGGTAAAAGACATCGCCCATTACGGCGGCTATGCGCTTGAACTGGAGGCCGTGTTCGGCGAAGAGCTCGACGCCTGTGTTGAGCGGGATGCCGACGGTGGGGTCGTTGGGGTAGAGCTCCATGATGTGCTTGACGACGGCGTCTGGATACCCGAAGCCGGTGCTGTTGGCGAGGAAGGCGTACAGATCTGCGTCGGTGTTGATAACGCCGTCGTCGGGCGCATTGTCGGTTCCCTCGTCTGAGTTTGTGCCGTACAAATGCGGGATGTGGGCGAAGCGACCTGAGGCAAGCAGTTCGGTAGGATACGCCGGCATGATGTCTCCGTCGACAGTGGGGTACCAGCCTGGGCCTTGACTTGGTCCTGCAAGCAGTGGGAACAAGTCATTGTACGGCACTGTGCGCAAACAAGCCAAGGTGTCGACTTGATCCGAGCAGTTTGCCTTGTTAACAATGTCGTCGTAGATGGGCTGGTACCAGTCTGTACCGTTGTACCAGGCTGTTGCTGCAGAGCCAGACTCCTGAATACTGCGGTGGAAGAGGCCATCTGTTCGGCCTCCGTAAGACATGAGTAGCTGTCCGATTGCGAAACTTCCAGCCGACTCGCCCCAGATGGTAACTTTTTCCTTGTCTCCACCAAATGCCCCAATGTTCTCTGAGATCCATTCAAGCGCCTTTCGCATGTCTCGCAGCGCCAGGTTGGTCTGCCCAGTGCCTTGGATCTCTCGCGAGTAGAGCATACCCCATGCACCCTTGCGGTAGTTGATACTGGCTGCAATGATGGGCTGGCCAATTTCCACGCTTCTTTGAACAATGTATGTCAAGTTGTAGTTTGCTAGAGCGCTGGTGCCGACTTGGTAACTTCCTCCGTGGATCCACAACGCAACCGGCAGCTTGACGTATTCGTCCGAAGAGAGACCTGCTGGGCGTATAACATTGATGCTCAGGCAGTCTTCACTCATGCTGAAACTTGTATCTGATGGGTCTGGACAAGTGTCTCCATAAGATTTGGCAGGGCGTGTGCCGTTCCATGTCGAGTTCAAAGACTGTGGTATGCGGAATCGGTTATCGCCTCCGGTATCCTGCGCATATGGGATACCCAAGAAGATTTCTTGTTTGAACGAGGGAAGATGTAGCCCTTCGTATGTTCCGTTGAGCACAGAGACGGTAGGCCCGACTGCATTTGCGGTCGTTCCGAGTAGACATGCTGCTAGCGTCCCCACCTTCCAAGCTCTTGCAATGAATGCCATGACGGCACTCTAACCGCAGTGGTGTATATTGGTGAGAACACCGGATAGAGTCGGTGTAAGAGAGTGAACTTTTGGGTTCCTCGATAAAAGTAAGCGGAACACTAGCGAATGCGTGCTATAAGAAGCAATCAAAGGGCCCTTGCATCTTGATGCGAGGCCTCCCACTTCTGCAGTGGACATGCGTTGCACGAGCGATCGGCAAATATTTACGCTCGGTTATTAGAGCCAATTTGGAAGGTAGACACGGGCCTTGCATGGCTAGCGGTGTCTGCTCTAATCCTTGCCATATCTCTGCCGTGACATTCTTGACATGAAGTTCGGCTGGCCGACCTCAATCTCCAGCCATGCCTCAGAATAATTTCGACAAAAAGCTCTGTCTTTTTGCTGGATGATCTGCCAGCTGTACTGTTACCGGCCTCGATGGAGGAGGAACCATATCTCCTGGCAGCTCAACTGGCATTTGGGAAATACTGTGATATGGTGCTTTGCTTGGAAGAGAGGCATTCCGGACCGTGTTCTGCAAAGGTTGCTGGGTTAGAATCTGACCAGCACCAGGCGCTGGTGGATTTGACCCATGGAAAGCCATCTTTGATGGAGGTGTACCAGCGATATGCACTATTTGTGGCTGAAGATGAACTTGTCCTTGGGGTTTTTGCGCATGCGCGTGCGTATATTGTGGCACCGGTGGTTGGAATGAAGGTAGGATGTTGACTTGTTGCTGCGCACGCTGAGCATCCCAGAGGGCAAAAACTTCATTCATAAGGCTAGTCCATTGTGGAGGACCACCTTGGAAGTTGTACTTGACTGACCCATCATGAAATGCGACAAAAAAGTGATCTTTGTGGTATGGCGAGATAGCAAGATACTGCATACGTCAGCGCTGCATCCACGTAATCAGCAGAGCATATCTTGATACTTACGGTGATAGCTCCTGGTGCAGCTTCCATGAGAATCTTGTTCAAAGTCTCGTAATGACCATAAAAGTTCCATGTCAGGCGTCGATCGGGATACATGGCGAACCATGCATTTTGCACACCAAGACTGACACAGACAGGCGTATCATGTGACGTTCGCAACTTGTTTTCGAATTCCGGATGTATGCCAGCCCAAATAGATCCTCGCCCCGGAGCACAAGCAAAGTAGCTGAGATTCTGGCCAAAAGTGACAAAGCACGAGCGGGCCGCATTCGGGAACGACTTTGTCCATTGCGCGAGACCAGGGTAGTTGATGTCGAAGTACGTCTGAGCATAAACTAGTTTTGATCAGCGTAACACAAAAAGAGATACTTGGCTGAATTTGGCGGGTCCTTCGGTATGCATCCGATTGCTGCGGGGCTGGGGCCAAAATACTCACATTGCTTATCCTCTCCGTCCAACGTCTTGCATCCCACATACCATACTGGATCTGGTGTGTTGATATGGGGCGCGAGAGCAAGACAGTACGGACTAGCAATTCTCCAGGCAGGGCTCATGGAGCTGTTGAATAGTTGACGAAGGGTAGGCGGTATCTCATGGCTATGCGCTGTCAGCCCCCAAGGCTACATGATTTGGCATCGTACGAGGCTCACAATTTCCATGTTTGAGGACAGTCGAAGAAGAAGCTATTGCGCGGACCGAAGACGAACGAGATGGTCGACATTTGGTCGGATTGAATGCAACACCGGCTGAGGTGGAGGAGAAAAGAAGAAAGTTGCAACTTTCAGCGCGTCACGAGGCGCCCACCCAAGAAAGTGTGGCTGTGATGTGTCGTGGGTGTCTCCCGTCCGCACAATCAACTGACCACCTTTGATCCAAAGCGCCACAGCGCGCTGTCCAGGTCACTTGGCAGAATACTGTCGTCTGATTTGATATCTTTTGTTTGAAAACATGTCTTTCTATGGCCGTTCTCAGTCCAGTCTGTTCAAGAAGATCGATAAGACAGTGAGAAGGGCGGTCTCACAGAATGCAGCAGTAGTAGCCAAAAATGGCATGCTTCGGCAACAGTTCAAAGCATCATTACTGATGCACGATTTGTACTGCAGGCTCCTTTGCTTTCACCACAGGTATCTCTTCTTCATACACTTCCTCCACATGCGCATTTGGAAAGGCCTTACGCAGCGCTTCACCTATGTAGCGAATGCCCCAGTCTTCCGCTTGCCTATGCCCAACACAAGCTACCGACATACCCAGCGCTTTTGCAGCTTCAAGCCCACTAACCCGGGGCTGTCCAGTCAAATAAAGCAGATGTCTGGCGTCTTCATCTGGTGCTATCCAGCCATGCTCTTGTGCCATTTGAAGCACACGATGTACCTCACCCTCATTGAACGCATTCATGATCGCCACGAAGCGTATTTGGTCCGATGAACCTGCATGTGCAAGCTCAGAGACGCCAAACTCTTCTTGTATTCGACCCAGGAGCACCTGTAGATACACGTCGACCTGGCCAATGATTCCAATCTTCCTCTCTGAGTCGCCTTTGTAACCTTGTACGCAGAGGCAGTTTGCCGTGTCTACGCGCAACCGTTCTGCCAGCGCCGTGTTCCACCCCACAGTGAGCACTTCATCAAAGGAAGTGTGACTTGAGAGAACAAGCGTCCCTTTGCGCACGCTGCGCCGATCGAGGGTGAAGGGCCGATGTAAGAAGCATAGTGTTCGCGGCGGTTGCGGGTACATGTGCCGGTAAGGCGCCGTGGAGTCCGCCGTAGTCTCATCAAATGGACAGCCGATCAGAGCGTAAACCCCTGGGGTCGGCATGACGCTGAGTACAATCTGCTCGACCACAGCAGTCTCGGGGTCGTAGCGAGGGTTTCGAGGGACGTGGTAGAGTCGCTGTACGTCGTTTTCCTTGAGCGGCAATAGCGTTTCGACGAAGCGCGCCACCGCCGCATGCGTAGTTTTCTTCGGTTTCGCCATGGAAAATAGCAAGCTAAGCAGTCTGCTCATTAGTGGTGATAAATAAGGCTCAGTCGCAAGCTTCGCGACTTTCGGCGTCAACTACGTCATGATCGCATCGAAGCCGTCGAATGCTGAACTAGAACTGCTAGGCCGACGCTTGGCCTGTTGCTCCATGAGTCGCTAGGAGTGGGCCTAGAGCCCGAGTATGTATGCCTTGAATGCATCGCGAGCCGTGTGTTGAAGGGAGAGGAAATCCGAAAGGCTGGCATCGTCATCATAAGCCTAGTCCTCTTTGGGATTAGCGGCAGGGTCGCCTTTTCCAATACACGGCTTGAAGTACACCAGCGTGGATGTAGCCTTGAGGGCATATCGTTCTCTTAATCTGCAGTCTTGAGCAGTCTCCCTATGCAAAAGGCTAGGCACCTCGGCTACTCATGACTGTAGTCATTAATGTGACTAAGTGCACGATTGCTTCCCGCGGCTTCTCTATCTTTCGGTCCAGAATCCGACTGTCATCCAGTCATACATTATTTATACAGTCTCGACGCCCTTTGTCTCTCCAATCACGCAACACTGTTAAAATGGGCGTGACTGCAGCTCCTGCTCCCGCCATTGTCGGCGCTTTGCAATGCCAAAAAAACTCTTACCTCCAAACACTCGAGACAGAAGTGGTGTCGTGCGAAGAATTTGTTCCACCAAAGGAATCGCAGCAAAACGGCAAGTCCAAAACAAAAAAGTCAACAGACCCAACCAAAGCACTTGAGAATGGCGATGCGGCAACGAGCAAGACCTGGTTGATTGAGCTTGCGGACTCGGTCCTCTTCCCTGAAGGCGGCGGACAACACACCGACCATGGCGTCCTCACGGCCCTGGGAGGCGAGAGCAAAGAAGAGATACCAATAAGGAGTATTCAACGCCACGGCCTCCGCTGCATACACTTCTCACCTAAGCCTCTCACGCCTGGTATACCTGTGCGCCAGACTGTTGACTTTGCCCGGCGTTGGGATCTTATGCAGCAGCACACCGGTCAGCACCTCCTCTCCGCCGTCATGGATGGCATGGATCTTCCCACCCTAGGATGGAGCATGGGTCAGCCTGGAGATATGAACTACGTGGAGCTGCCGCGGAAACCAACGGATGAAGAGATACAGACAATACAAAGGGACTGCAACAAGAGGATCAGGGAAAGCATACCAATCACGGTGGAGACACCCGAGGGCAAGGCAAGTGATAGTCTCCCTGAAGACTACGATAGGGAGAAGGGCGTTGTGAGGTTTATCAAGATTGGCGACATGGACTACAACGCTTGCTGCGGAACCCATCTCCAGAACTCTGCACACATCAATGTCATTCTTCTGCACCATACACAGTCAGTGCGAGGCACAAACTGTCGGCTTTTCTTCACAGCGGGCGATCGCGCAATCACAATGGCAACAGAGTCGATTACAGGCCTTCGCTCCATCGCTGTCTCACTGTCTTCGGGCTCCGCACCAGCCGATGTCGCAGCCGGCGTACAAAGAATGGCGGATCAAGTCTCTGAAGCGCGAAAGAAAGAAAAGAAGCTCCTCGCAGAAATCGCGTCCTTTGAAGGCGAACGCATCAAGAACTACCTGCAAAGCCATGCAACCGCATTCTTGCACCGTGCAACCGACGGATTAGACTTTATCAACCTCGTCCTCTTTGAAATCAAAGACACAGTCAAGGAGCGCGATGCCGTCGTAGTACTGTGCTCAGGAGAAGTAAAATCCTCTGGCTCACTCGTTTTATTCGGAAAACTAGAGCTAGTAGAAACGATGGCAGCAAAAGTCAAGGAGACAGTGAGCACAGCAAAAGGCGGAGGAAAGGGGGAAAAGTGGCAGGGAAAAGTCACAGAGTGGCAGAAAGGTGAGGTTGAAGCACTGAAGAGTGCAGTCATTACGCAGTAAATTCTATACAAGCAAGAGGATGGAGTACAGGAAAAAACAGTCTATGCCCCCCCAAAAAAAACAGAAAGTATATATGGGAAATGAGAAATGTATGCAGTATCAAGCCGACTCCCTCCTCCCAGCTCACCTGACCCCGGGTAAAAGGAAGATGTATGTACAAAGAAAAACGAGCGAGGTATAGTTGTATACAGCCGAAGGGTAAAAAAAGGGGGGGGGGCTATTCACAGACCTTACCCAGCAACAGAAAGTACAAATGCCGTCCTCGTCTCCAGGGCCACGAACGACATCACTACGATTTAAACACTGTAAACCTTTACAGAATTGACAAGCCAGTACGTCTACCACACCGTCAGTCAGTCCGATCTCCTTCTCCAACGCATTTGTATAACTTACATCAGCAAAGTTCTGCGGCTGAGCCGCCACATACGCAGCACAACTAGGATTGACCTTTGAGCAAGAAGACGCGCCCCAAACAGACGGGCTACCAGCCCAGTCGCCGCAAAATGTCGTGTCGAAAACGATGCTGAGATCGCGGAAGTTGGCCGCAAAGTCGCAGCCGCCGTTGCCAAAGTTGGCGAGCGGAGTGCCCCACGCCGTGGGATTCGGGGTGCCGCGCGTGATGTCGGCGGGGATGTCGCGCGTGGCAAAGTACCAGATCTTGATGCCGGTCGTGGTCCAGAGGGTGGCGTAGACGCCGCCGCCATAGGCGTTGAAGGGCGTGCCGAACGTGGTGCCGTTGGGAGCGGCGACGCCGCAGCCGGTAGAGCCTCCGTTGGCACCGCAGTCGCCAGTGAGACGAGTCCCCGTTTCGCCTCCGGGTCCAACGCCTGGGTTGCAGCCCGGCGCTGTGTGCAGCGTCATCTGGTTGTTGGCGACGAGGTTCACGCCCTCGTAGATGTCGATTTCGCCTTGGTTGGGCCAATTGGGGCCGACCATCCAGCTTGAGGACTTGTTAGCGTGTCGCCAGTATCATACGGCTTTCCACATACAAGGCAGGCCACGAGCCACATGCGGTGCCGGGGACGTGAGCAAAGTCGGCAATGATGAGGGCGTTGTTGTATGCGTTCTTGCTTTGGACTCGCACGCTCTTTCGTCCCGTACCGGTGGCAGAAAGTATAGATTTCGAGTCTACACCCATGTACACTTGGTTATTCTGTACCTTGTACAGCCCCAGCGACTGAGCGTCCTGCTGATTAACGTAGTTGACGAAGCCATCTGTATCTCGTGTTAAAGGGCTGTCGCTAGCCAGTTGAAGCACCATGTACGTACGTGTGGGATCGGCAATGTTCTCAAAGTTGAACTTGGTAAGCCAGTTGGCTGCGTTGTAGTTGTCAATCAGCGTGTATGCTGCCGCAGCTGCAGCGTCAGTGGCGACGACATTGGACTTGCCGTGTGTCCAGGAACCAGGGCCAGCAGGCGATGCGGTAGCACCGTTCCAAAGGATGGGCAGGGAAAAGATGAGGGACTTGTAGGACATGGCGATGATGATAATGGCAAATGTGTACAATGAAACCTATGCGGAAGTTACACCGAAGTGAAGAGACCTCAAAAACCGCGTCTATACCCATATACTTATAGTTGCACAAAAGCCATCCCCCCATGCACCTCCCTCCCCTCCTCCTCCCTCATTTCCGCCCGCGAGATCTAGAAACGCATCCAGGTCTGGTGCCCAAGGCCGAATCACGACGACCAACCTGAGGAAGACTAGGCGTGACCCTACCACTGACAAACCCATCACAACATGATTGGTCACACAAAAAAAGGGGGGCCTCTAGCATAGACAAGTGCCGTGTAATGCTAAGATTTACAGTACGCATAAAGTACAAACTTTTTCTTTACCATTACAGTAAAGTAACAGTGTCTGGACATGATGTAATATTGGCTAAGGCAGAAGAGTGCTTACGGTATTGTTTGGATTGCTGGGATTTACTTACACTAGCTAGCAATATATAGCTACATCTAGTATTACATGTTGAGTACGTTGGAAACAACAAAGGCTGACAATAATGCAGCTATGTACTCCTAACTGCACTGTAGGAAATGCCACTGCATCAGCTCTTTAAAGCCACGCAGGACTAAGTTTTTTTTGTTTTTTTCATGTGTATGAAATGTAAGCCGTCTCTTTCATTATAACAAGATGTATCAAACCCCAAGTGTACAAGCGGGAATCGTTGGCCGGTACAGTCCTGCTATCATTACGTCCCATCACACGCGCTGCTCACAGTCCGCGGCGGCGGGGGGGACTTGGCCCAGTCAAGCAGCTCGAAATGGGCGGCACACGCAGTTTCCAAACGTGGACATGGCGCATGATGAGGATGCCGAGAAACACACACAGCCTCGTGGTTTTAACGGTAGTAGCGGTTGGTCCATGCATGAGATCTGGGGAGGGGGGGTGGGTTGCGGCTTTTTTAGCAAAGATTTCTTTGGGGCGGGGTGATGAGGCTACGATGGTGCTTTGTGAATGGCTAAATACCCGGAACATGCTCATTTTACTTTGTTTCTTGCCTTTGCCTTCTCCACTCTCTCTCTCTCTCTCTCTCTCTCTCTCTTTTTTTTTTCTTCCCGCGCATCCCCCATCGATATACGCGGGGAACTGCAAATCTCAAGATACGAGAAACGGCCAAACCTGGATCAAGCAGGTCAGAGGCCAGTACTAGTAAGCACCAAATACCTTGCAACTCATCCATATACCCTCGCGCAAGAGGATTTTATGTGTGTGTACCCTTCATTTCCGCGAACCAAAAAAAAGGGCCACCATGAAACCAAGCTTTTATGCTCCTTCTTCTTCGCGCTCCCTTCCCGCCTTTTTCCCTCACGCTAGAATAAATTACTTTCCCTTACTTACTTACCCTATCTATCTTGCCCCATAAGTAATACCCGTATCGCAACAACAAAGGAAATGTAGCTAAAAAATTGTTCCTGAAAAAAAAAACACACCCAAGTTGTGTATACATATTTACAGTACGCAACCCTGCGATTTGTTATTATTATTATTTTTTGCCATCCCCATGGCCAGACCATCTGATGTTCAACGGGTCACACTGACCTTTTTTATTATTTCCTTGTTCCTCCCCCCCCCCCGCACACACACACACACACACGTGCGCACATGCAAAACTCGTGGCATGTTGCACGCTCTCAACCCCGGATTTACACTGCATGCGGGTGACTTTGCGTGGTTGAGCATAAGTAAGGTAGCACAGCGTCAGTGCAGTAAGTAAGTAAGTAAGTAAGTAAGTAGGGCTGGCTGGGGAAATGCGCCCGCCAGACGTCGCAGTCTCCAGTCTCACCGCCTGGAGACGAACAAGTATCAAGACGTGCAACAGCGCGGGTTGAATGAGCACCGGTGAAGGAGGTCCAGGGCGGAGGGACCAGGGTATATAAATAATGCGGAAGGTGGTTTGTGGTGAGGGTGGTCGCGTGCAGGACGGGGTGGGGCTGAGAGCGGAAAGTATACCGGTGTGTTGTCTCAGTCGTTTTGCAGAGAACCCCGTGACCTTGCGTTCGAGTGTGTTTATTAAGCGCGCACTTGAAGCGTGCAAGGGCTTTGATGTCGAGGGTTGGTGCTATTGAGAACCCGGTGAAGTGGCCGGCGTCATGTGTAGCCTTGAGCGCACGGCTTCAACAGAACAAAGGGAGTTTAGTCATCCAAGACTTGGACGTCAAGTCGCATCGTATTTTCTATCTTGATCGTATGTAGCTATTATCAGTAGTTCAGAAAGAAATCTTGTCTTGCAGTGCATTTAGCCAGTCGTTTGCAGCGCTCTTCTTCTGCATGGTGTCAATGTACATGTGACTTCCTTCCAAACTACAGCCATGAAAACTGAATTATGAATCCCACATGTACAATCTTGTAAAAAAGAAAAACAAAAGAGTTTGCTTATCAGCACTACCATTGCCTCGCTGTGCTTTCCATTCAATTTCTGGTATCTTGTAGCCAACACATACCCACACACACAGTATCCCTCACGCCACGGCAACAACACACATACATACCATTATTAGAAGAAAAAACATACTTCTCTACCCAACCTCGCCACACGACTGATTCGTTTGCATAAGACCAACACAGAAAATGAAAAGGTTGTTTCGAACAAACAGTCCTGTATCAAGCATGGAAAGCCTGTCACTATTCTGCCTACTTACAAGTTCTGCTTAACATCGAGCACTGCACACGCGGCGCCCTTCCTCAAACTTCAAAAAAAAAGCGCACACATACACAATGTTCTGCAACAGCCCTCTGATTTCCAGATTCTCTTATGAAAAATGAAAAAAAAGGCTGTATCTTGTTCACCTACCGAAAAAACATGACTCGTTGTAACTCAATCCATGAGCTTTCACAATGCTCCTATCCCCCTCCATCTCACCACCCGTTCACTCTGTAAGCCCACAGCAAGGTAGCACAGCGCCCCCAAACGGCCGTTTGTCGCGTTGTTCCCCCTTCCGCCCACCATGGTTCCACCACAGCGTGACAAATCTCTTGGGTGTCTCGACGCCGTAGATTCACAATGAGAAAAGTGTGGTTTAACGTACCAGCTTTCACAGACGAGGGTACAATGGGTAGCTGCGTGGTATATGAAAAATTCCCAGGTTGGCAATGGATTGGGATTTTTTTGTTGCAACACAACAGGAACGGAGCAATCAACTGCGAGTATACAACTCGAAGCAACAATAGCAAAGATAGAGAAACGGAGTTTGGAGTATCGGGATTTTAAGATAGCGATACGGATTCCTCTTGCCAGCAAAAACAGGCGTATCGAGAAGAATCCGAAGGCGACATGTCGAGTCAGTCGGCAATGACGAAATTCATGGTTGTCTTCACCGTCGTGATGGTGGTCTGGCTCTGGTGGCTGTCCATCCTCCAGAATGACCCTGCACTCAGTGTGGACGCCACCTGGAACTTTGACATGACGGACTGGAAGACAGGAGTGGCTACAGCCATCCTTATCGCCATGTTAGGCTGGGTGCTGCACCTCATCCATGTCATGAAAGCGCGATCAGAAGCCCTTTCCATAACAGTCATCGTGGGCCTTTTCTTCCACACTGTGCCAGCCATGTGTCTCTTGGCTACGGTTCTGAAGTCGAGAGTTGCCAAGGATCACCAGCTCGTGTGGTTCAGTGCTCTCATGGTGTTCCGGTATTGGCGGACGCTGGTAGGTGTCTACTTCTGGACGCAGTACAAAGTGGCTGAGCGGGGCGCTGGTGGCGGACAAAAAAGCTACAGCCCATCTGACTGCACTGTCGTGGTGGCTACGGTTGGGCCTGGCAAGAACTTGGAACTGTTTGTGAGAATGATAGAAGCAATTCTCGCCAACAAGCCCCGGCGAGTCATATTTTCTACGCCGGAACCCAGCATAGCGGATATCGTCCGCCCCTTTGTGCTCAAGATCCAGAGCGACTTCCAAGCACGCACGGCGGAGCCACACAAGATACCCGAGTCCACAACCGATACAGAGATCATCTGCACGGGCGAAGCTTACAGAATGGACAAGCGAACGCAGACTGCCCATGCAATTAGCTTGGTCGATACCCCAATCATGGTCATGGCCGACGACAGCGTGGTATGGGGGCCAAACTTCCTGGAAGCCACACTGCCCGCCTTTGAAGACGACAAGGTCGGATTCGTCGGGACGCGCAAATGGGTCGAGCGTCTGCCTCTCCCTGAACACGACTCGGGGCTCAGTGCGCGACAGAACTTCCTCACGAGGTATAGAGCTGGTTTCTGGAACACAATCGGGGCACTGTATCTCATCCGCCACAACTTCGAGATCCGCGCATCCAACGCCGCCGACGGAGGGGTCTTCTGTGTCTCTGGTCGAACCAGCCTTATCTTATCCCGGATCGTCAAGGACGAGGAGTTTCTTGCCAAGTTTCTCAACGAATACATTTGGGCGTTTCCGAGCCTCGGAGTAGAGGGTGTGGGGCCGCTCAAGGCAGACGACGACAACTTCATCACGCGCTGGGTGGTGAATCGCGGCATGAACGTCAAGATCCAATACTCTGAAGATGCGACAATGACTACGCAGCTGGGCCGAGTGGATCAGTTCAAGTTCTTGGACCAGTGCATACGCTGGAGTCGCACCACGATTCGACAGAACCCCATCGCCCTGTTTGTTGACCGGACCATGTGGTGGAAATGGCCCCTTTCCGTGTGGATGGTCTACTTCCCCTGGATGTATAATGCAGCGCTGTTCTGGGATTTCCTTGCAGTGTGGACGTTTACCACGACTGCTTTTTTCCGCGACTCGCAAGTGCAGTATCGTTGGCTGGGCGCCCTCGTCTTCGCAATCTGGATGTCCAAGTTGACCAAGACGGCTGCATGGTTCATGCGTCAGGAAAACCGATCCGATTTCTTCTGGTACTTCTTTCCCATCCCAGCCTACCCCTTATTTGCATACAGCCACTCTATCATCAAAGTTTACACAGCCGCGACTTTTTGGGTCAACGACTGGGGTGGCCGGACTCAAGACGAGAACCAGCGAGAATTGGACGTAGGCAAGACGAGGTAGGCGAAACGATTAGGCGGTGGCAAAAAAAGCTTGATTGTTGTTCAACTCAACTTGGAGTACACGCCTGCGAATTGGGCCAGAACAAGCGTGCAGCGGGTCAGCACGTTTTCGCGCACTGCTTCTGCTCAAGGCAGATTTGAGCGGCGCACACCAGGACCAATTTAGGCGCAATCATTTCAAGCAAGGACAGACATCTAGAACCTTTGTCTGAAACCCCTATGCTCTCGGGCGTGAGGCACTGTGGGAATTTTTTGTTTTCTTTGGCTTTGTTGTTTTGTGTTCTCGATACCCATGAGCAGATTTTAGTGCAGGCTAAAACAGAGTAGGATGGCCCGGTCTAGATTCCACGGATAGTGAGTTCTTCCTTTGCCAATGCCGAAACAAAGTTTCTGTATCTCGATTCTCCACCCCCTTGATCGTATGTTTCCTGCTGTGGCTGTCGCCCCAACCGTGATGGTGTCGTGCAATTGATTCTGGGACCAAATGATCAATGAAACATTCCAGGACTAGGTTGCTTTGATCACTCGATCGATCTCCGATCGACGTGCGGCCAGTGATGCTAACACACGCAGGCAACGATGCTGAATTTGCCAAGGTGACCAAATGACTCTGACTGTGTCATGGGCCTCGAGTGATGCACTGAGACGCTTAGAATACCGTGTTGGTATGAATGCCGCTGTCTCACGGGGCCATGATTGCGGGGCGTCTGTCTGGGCCTCGGAGTATGCATTGCCACTGCAGCAGCAAGGCAGAGTAGTCTTTAATATGTTGCCATTCCGAACGTCGGTAATGTCGTCCAAATAGAGTATCTTCTGGGACACGGCTCTGGGACACTAGGGGCAACTGCCTCATTCGTGCCTTTGCCCGCTTCAACTCGAGATGGCCGCATCTGAGTATACAAGCGCCTCTGGTGGTAAATGCGATATTGTGGCATTCGCATCTTGCACATTAGGTGTACCGCTTCTCCCATTAGGTAAAAGGGAAACGAGCAAATTGCATGGTTGCTTGTCAGTGAGTGTAGTCTAGCAGCATCACGACCTTGCATGGCTGCCTGACACACCAGAGTACGACCGACGGATTCGCCCATGCTGCTGGGCCCAAGCCAGACGTGGAGGACCACGTTGCTGCCGCCCTCGAAATAGTGCCAGGTCGGGCGAAACCTTGGGAGCTAGTCGCCGAATAAACACCTCGACGCTGCATAAGCCTAACCAAGGAACGCGATGTGGTGGAACTGCACACAAAGACCCCAGGCCCTGGAGAGAAAAAAAAATCAAGCCTTATCACCAGGTTACGGCATGGCGCAGGCGGCAGTGGACGTCCATTTGCCGCTCGCTGCATGGGACGAGGACCAGGGTTAGCGAAAAATTGGGGGCCAGAATCAGAGGGACACGATGCCGAGCAGATGCTGGGGCCAGCGCCAACCCTTGTCGCCGTCATGTCGTCCAAGACCGCCAGGAGCAGGAGTGTTTGAGAAGAGCAAAAGCAGACTAAACAGTCGCTGCTATCATCTGCCCCCACCGGTGCCTTTGGTTCTGGCTGCAGACGAGGCCATGCTTGCTTTTGCTCGCTTGCCAGGCATGAGGTGGCAGCGTCTTGAGTGGTCGGCCCAGAGCCGGGCGCATTGATGCCGTCGGCGCCATTGGGTGCTGCCAGTGGGTGGGTAGTGTCGTGCCATGCGCAACCGCAGACAGCGGCTCTGGCTAGCCTTTGGGGACGAGAAGGCGTCGCCCCCTACGCCCATGTATGTACATGGACGGCACGCTGGTGGGCAGAGATGCGGTGGCACAAGCGCAAGTCTACGCAAAGCCGTAGTGGCAGTTGCTGTCAAGGCCGCCGGTGTCGGTGACGGTGTCTTGGGAGGGGGGGGGCCTAAGCATTGTCAGTGTAAGGGGATAGCTTGAGTACATACACCTATACCTAGGCTCCAGGCGAGTAGGAGGGCGGGCGCATGGGTGCGAATGCGAGACAGGCTGGATGCCGGCTCGGATGCGGTTAGAGGCCTGGTGACGCTAGCAGGAGGGAGGAGAGGAGAGGGAGGGGGGAGGGGAGCAGAGAAGGCTGTGCGCACATGATGAGGCTCTGTCCCAGCAGATAGCGAGCACACGCACAACAGCACGAAGCCACCTGGGCGCGAGATCAGGGCTAAAAATTGCGCTGCTCACGGCATGCCTCGTCGTCAAGTCGGCCGTCGAGATGTCTCGCATGCTGCTCTGGCATGGCAGGGCATGGGATGGCTGCTCATGGGGGCGCGGGAAGGATCCTCGACCCATGTGGGCGGTATTTGTTCTTCCGGATCCGGGCCTGTGGCTTGGCTGCGGGGTCACTTGGGCTTAGGCGAGCCCGAAACCGACCATCCACCTCTCCACCATGGCTGTGCCCACGCCCACGCTGAGCCTAAGCAACGGCCGTCGTCGACTAACCTGGCGCCATGGCAGCCATAACGGTCACTCACTAATTGCTAGCAGCCTCCCCGCCGCCGCCCCCTCGCCGCCAGCTCCTCGGACTCGCATCATGCACCTGCCATGCCGCCGCCGCCGTGTCGTGTGCAGTGCGTGTGAGTGGTGGTGGCAGCCATGCCCAAAAATGGCCCTCATCCTCGCACACCCAAGGCCCTTGTGCGAGGACACGCTGCGCCCTTGGGTCCAGCAGGTAGCACAGCGCCCGCTGCGCAGACCAGCAGTCGTTTGTCGCCGGATCGCTCGCGTTGTGGCAGACGAGACGCTCGCGCGTCGTGATGCTAGGTTCCAAACTGCTGGTACTCACCTAGCAGGCATTGCTTGCTGATCACCCGTCGAGGTGGCTTCGAACGGTCCATGTGTCTACACACCACCACCACCACGACGGCGGCCTGGTGCTGCTGTTGCGCCCTGTCCTGTGCCGTCTTCCAGAAACGGGCGGCCACATAGCGAGCTTTGCACTCGTCCCCGTTGCAAGCGATGCTGCTCGCCAACACGGATCCAATCAAGACGCAACCTGGAGCAAAGGAAGTTCCCGACGCGAGGGCCGGAGCCAGAGCCACAGCCAGAGCCAGCGTGAGAGCCAGCGTGAGAGCCAGAGAGCCTGATCACACCACCCGGCCGATTTAGCACCTGTCGCCAGATGCAGGGCACTTGTCATCGATTTGCTCGGTTTCTGTGCAGAGATTGCCAGGCTCGTGTCCATGGAAGAATGGCCTGATGGAGGCCAAATGCCGTCTCTCGGGCGTGGTGATTGATGGGGGGGAGGGCAGAACCGCTCCAGGGCCGCGGCAGAAGCCGTCTCGCCTCCACGCTCAAGGAACCATGACAATCACGCAGCACGGCTACGCCCTTTGATACGCGGTGCTATTAGCTGGGCAGCTGTGCACGCTGCCCATTTGTCGTCCGCCATGGGGTGTAGCGCTGTTTGCACCCCGGTCTCCACACGGTGGAAAATCGCCGTCCACCAAGCCATGATTCAAGATTGGTATTATGTGCAATACCGGCCTGGGAAGAGATGGACCGGGATGCTCGCGAAAAAATCTGTTTGCGTGATAGCCCGACTCATCCATCCCGCATGTGCAGCACGAGCACGAGAGCAAATGGGGCCAGTACCAGCGACTGAGCATTCTGGGCCATGTCGACGGCCTGTGGCAGTGCGGCATCTCATCGTACATGGTCCTATTGTGTCATTGACATACATGCTCCCGGTGCTGCGACCCCGGACCCGTCATTCGCCTGGAGAAGCCACCCAGCTCACCGGGTGCTGATGATGAGACGGGCGACAAGGCAATCTGTGGCGGTGTCCAGTCACAGCACGACAATGGGCTGTCTTACTCCTGCAGTAGTTGCCTCGCCGTCTTGGGGCTTGGGTGGGTGGCCCAGGGAGAGACTGCCATTGGCGCGGCCGCATTACAGAATCGATTGCGTACCGGTAATCAAAGGACCCCACGGAGGGTGAATCCTGCGGGCCGCAAGACCAAAATAGTGTGTCGTCTTGCATATCACAAGTCACAGAGGGTATTGCGTTGGGCCAGCCATAAAGTAGGCTGCACAAACCAAAACTTGTCCAGGCACACGGCCTCATTACCGCATGGACCGTGACAACGATCTCGTGGGCTAAATTAGTCTGGATCGGGGAAGCGGTGCGATTCGACGGGCGGGCTCACCCCGCGCATGTCGCGATAAGCATTTGGACGCCGAGTGCAGCGCCCGCTTGCTGGGAATTTGTAGGTGGGAATTGGTTTTGGCTTCTTGACAGCAAAGACATGGCGAGACAGCTTGGGCCATGGGACGATGGCGCAAAAGTAATATCTGGCTCGTGTTGAGCAGGGGCGTGACTGTCGATGGGCCTGCCGATGGGCAGGGTGGGTGCATCGGGTACAGTAACACACACTCAATAATCATGCGCCAGTTGCACTGCAGGAGAGTCGATGTACATGGCTCTGGTGGTGTAGGGCGGCGGGCTGGTTCCAGAACGGGCGGCGGTTCACGCCTTGAACAACCTTATCCATCACGCCGGGCCACAGGCGTTCAGGGACCAGGCGAAGCAACTTGTCACGCTGACTATTGGTATTATGCGTGGGCATGGTACGGAACGCGAGGCCCGTGTGTGACGACGGCGGCGACGACGGCCTCGGTACCCTCTCTGGGTGTGGTGGTCAAGGGAGCAAGGAGTGGTGGGCACAGAGCGTGCCGTGACCTGGCACCATATTGGGGGAGGGAGGGATGGAGGCAGGGAGATTGCTAATACTAGCCATGGCCAAGCACCCCACACCCACACCTACGCCTACGCCTACGCCTACGCCCACCACACCCACACCGTCTCATAAACGGAACATGGCGGGGTGTGTCTGTTTGCACACGCCATCACATGCGGGAGGCCGCGAGCCGTGGTGGTCCTGCACCCACCTACCCTATCTACACCTACACGCACACACACACACACATACGCACATACACACACGCCAAACCAAGTGTGATTACTCAGAAGGTCACGTCACGCCATGTCGCCGGGCAGCCTTGCATTCCGCTCAAGTCGGCGGTCAACGTCTTTTGAAGATGCACTGCAACGTGACGGGGGTCGTCAGAAAGAGGAGGGCATGGCATGGCATGGCATGGCATCATGAGGGTCCGGCAGTGATGATACCATCCACACCCACCTACCCACCCACCCACATCCATCCATACCGTGGGACTCGCGGTGAGGTCAGCGCACTGCAATGCTTGGGGGGGGTGGAGGGGGGCAGGGCAGGGCAGGGCAGGGCATGACAGACCAGTCTCCTCTCTCTCTCTCTCTGCTGCGCCCGCTGAGCCCCACGACGAGACTCGCTTAGCTGCCCTCTTACAGGCAATGCTCGGGAGGCTCGGTAAAATTAGCAGCGCGCTGCAGCCAATGACGTGGCTCCCACGTGCACAGCCGCTCACTAGCCACACAGCCACAGGCCTCTGCCCCCCTCCCCCCCGGTAGCGCTGCGGATCGGACAGCGCGAAAGGATCGCCAATCACGCACGCTACGGGTCGCCAGGCCTACGGAATGGCAGCACATGGCTCCAGTGCTCCTCCCATGGCTCCCCGACAAGAGCGGTCATCTAGTGCAGTCGTCGCTACAGGGCCTATCCCTAATCCGCTTGTCTTTGCCAGATGCAGCCTGGCCGCTCCCACGTTCTGCACGCCTACTCGCCGCCGCTGCTCTGCCCCTCGTTGCTTTCGGTATGGCCTGCTCACTGCGTGGTCCGACTCGTGCGGACGGGGGTCGGGCACACCGCGACTCCCCAGCGCCCTAGCCTACCACAAAGCGGTCGGGGCGCGCGATCGAGGCGGGGGTGAGAATGGACGGCGGCCGGTACCCTCTGCCTACTTTTATTTTTCCTAGCGTGGCCTGACTGCTCCAAAACAGCCACCGCCAGGCTAGAGGCCCAGGCGCCCCGTAGGGCAGCATATCCTCCAGGCAGGGGTAGGGCATGCCCTCGTGTGGCTTCGTGCACTGCTGCTGCTTCCCGCTGGGGGCCACGCTCGTCTGGACGCTCGTCGCTGGCCTTATGTATAAACCGACTTCGCCCCCTCCCCGAGGCATCGTCGTCCAGTTCCAGGCCCATGATCAACACCACCATTTCTTTGTCCAGACCTCTCCGACGCCTTGGTTTGCCTTTCCGGACCAGAGCCCTTCCCGCTCCCTGACCTGTCCCTCGCTTCAGCCAGCCTCCAAGTCCTCCCCTACGGGACTACGCGCTGTCACGCCCCCGTAACCCGAAACAGCGCAGGATCGGCAAAAGCAATCGTCGATATTCACTTATCGCCGACCCGTACGTCAACTCCAGAAGTTGATCGGCGTCCTGCTCAGGGAGGGTAAGCTTTCCCCTGCCTAACCCTCTAATGCGCGCTACCAACCAAACCACGTCGATCCACATCGCACTGATTCAGTCTCCATGCTGACGGAATTTGCGCAAATAGGCATCCATCTGCACCTCAACTCATCGCCAGTTTCCTCTCCTCCTGCTTCACTCATCACTCACACCACCCTCCACACACACACACACACTCTCCATCATGGTCGAGTTCGCCCAATACACGCCTGGCATGGCTCACGACTTTGAGCTCTACTCCCACAACCAAGAGCAGCAGCACCTGGACTTTCAACACAACCAAACCTTCATGCCTACCTCAACATGTGCCATGGACCATACCTTCAGTGCTCCCTTTGACCCAATGGCCCCTCTCACAGAGATGCAAAGGCCCCAAGATCTTCACTTCCACTACGATGTCATTGCACAAGGCGTCAAGCCCTACCAATACCAAACACCAGCCGGATCACCCCACTCAACCTCAAACTCCTTCCATGAGATGCCCCCCGTCCTCTCAGCATCCTCAGAGTCTGGCGCTTCAGTGTCTTCATCAGCCATGGGCTCCCCGTCGCTTGTTCCCCAGTTCAACTCGTGGCAACCAATGCCCATGGGACTCACATCCGGCTATGAATACCCAGGCATGATCGCAAACGAGAAGTCGTATGTGGGTAAGTCAATAGTTTCTTCTACGGTAGTTTCATCGTCTTCTTCTTCTTCTATCGTATCTCCTACATCACCAAGCCTCCGGAGACATGTCTTCAAGACACCTGTGACTCCAGCCTCGGCGACCAGGTCATTGGTACGGTCGCGAGCAAATACTCTTGCTTCCAACACAACCAAACATCGAGAGTCTTCTTCATCAGTCATTCATTCCTTTTCTCCATCAGTGCCACAATCTCCTCAGTCTTCTCTATCTTGTTGGTTACCTTCCAAGCCGGAATGCCTTGATTACTGACGCAGCGCGAGCAGATCCTAATCTCATTCAGCCATTCACATTCCCGCCCCACAGCCCTTATCCTGAGATCAGGACTACACCTTCTCCCTACTTTCCAGTCATCGAGCAACCACCCTCGCCAGCTCTCTCTCATCTCTCTTCAAAGAGCCAGCACCCAGGCTCCGCACGGGTCAAGAGGGGTAGCGCTAGTCCTTATCTCCACACTCAACAATATCAACCATACCCCATGTTCAACGGCCAACGGCGGAGCTCCGTCAACTCTCTCCACTCACAAAACTCTGGCACTAGCCGCAAGAGCGCTAGCAGCTACGACTTGGATGACGAGACACGTGAGAAGGGCATGTGCCCACTGCCAGAGTGCGGCCGTGTTTTCAAGGACCTCAAGGCACACATGCTTACCCACCAAAACGAGCGGCCTGAAAAGTGCCCAATTGCGACCTGCGAGTACCACATCAAGGGATTCGCCAGGAAGTATGACAAGAATCGACACACCCTTACGCACTACAAGGGTACCATGGTCTGCGGTTTCTGTCCAGGCAGTGGTTCGGCGGCTGAAAAGTCGTTCAACCGCGCCGATGTCTTCAAGAGGCACCTCACATCTGTCCACGGCGTTGAGCAAAACCCTCCCAACAGCCGCAAGAAGAGCCCTTCTGGTCGCAAGTCTTTTGGTGGCTCGCAACCCAGTGTTGCTGGTACTTGCTCGACTTGTTCAGTAACCTTTGCCAACGCACAAGAATTCTACGAGCACTTGGACGACTGCGTGCTGCGCGTCGTACAACAAGCCGATCCTACAGAGGCCATCAACCAGCGCCTCCTCACCTCTGTCGCAGAGGACAAGGATGTCACCGAGACTCTGGACCGCAACGGTCTGTCCAAGAGCATCGAGTACACTGTCCCCAACTACGAAGACGACGAGGAAGACGACGAGGAAGAAGATGAGATTGACAACGACGACAAGGATGACGCCACATGGGGTAGCCGTACCACTCGCTCAGGCAAAGGCGGCATCAAGTCGACCAAGTCGGATTGACAATTAACACATTCCCGGGGTGTCGGCGCAACGCAGCACGTCGGGGGTGGCAACCCAATCCAACATGTCTCTTCTTCCCGTGTTACCAAGTCCGGTCCGCGCGCTGGCCTGACCTTCTCCAAAGGTGGTGTTGCTATCAGCACTGCCGGACGCAAGAAGCGCAAGAATTACCCTGTCTCTTGGGGTTGCGCAACCGACAAGATGAAGATGAAGAAGCGCGTCCTTTGTGTATACGATGGACAACGCCGACTGTGGAAAGACGACATGATGCTGGACCAAGAGTTCGAAGTACGCATGAAGCTGCCTGATGGCAAGTCCTATGTCACAGACTTGGATGTGCAGACGCTTAACCGCGCCGAGGCGTTGCATGGCGCCACTGCTGAAGAGAGGGGTGACTGGGTGCCCAATAACATAATCGGTAGCAGTGCACCGGCTATGGAGGCGATGCCGCTTGAATGGGCAATGTAAGGCCCTCGTACAACAACACTTGACTTCTTTCTGAATGCGGACGTTTGAGCGGATCTTTTTTTTTCTGAGCTATTCAAGGAGGGGCTTAAAGCGACAAAAGGTTACATGGCAGGGAACATGGTCAACCCGTACACAGACACGGCTGATGACACGCACGACACAACGAACATCTTTGTTGTACTACCAATGTTTGTAGTTTTCCTTTCGATCGATACCACCGGGTCTAAACTCGTATTTCTCTTATTCAACATTGTGTTGCTTTTTTTCCTACCCTCGGGGCTCGTTGGCGTTTGACAAGGAATGAGCGATTAATCAGTGGCGTGAAATGAGAAACTCCATTCTTCGCGTGGCTGGCCGCGAGAGATGTAGTTTTTTTTACTTATTCTCTCGAATCCATATTACTTGATTGGACAATAAAATATTCGTCTTCAATTTGACTTGCTTGGTGTACAATGCGACTGTGATGGATGGGTTGCCTTGTTACACACTCGCACGCTTTGACTCACGTCACTGTACATTTCCAAGCCCTCCTTTGCTTCTCTGTCCGTCAGATCCGAATGTACAACCACAACAAAAGTAACGGTTGCAACGTAGCGTCGCAAAAAAAATCCATGATGCAACCAAGCACACCTGCACATATGCCCTGCCTCTTAGATCGACTACACAATCTGACATGACCCAAGCGTGCATTGGACCTGCATCGTAGAATAATCACCCTGGTCTCTGTGGCTCACAACAGTGAGACCACGTAAGCGGGTACCCCCCACTCTGTCGTCCTCTGTGCTGCCTTGTTTTCTTCCTTCTTTTCTTCTTCCCGTGCTTCCGAAGCACCTTCGTTAGCCCAGGGCAGTTTTTCGACAAGGAACGGAGTATCTAGCCGAGGCCGTGGCTTTTGATGTAGGGATAACGATGCATGGATACACGGGCTATATGTGCATCTTCGGAAGTACTTGTCGCGGATACATAGTTGGAAAACATACATCTCATCCATCTTGTTGTGGCTTGTAGGAAGTAAGAATACACAAGCCATGTTTTTTCTTCTACACAACGGAGAAGACTCCGTCAACCGAAAACTTGGCAGTGTAACACTACAGACAAGGTCAAGAAAGAAGCATTTCTTTTCTCTTTAGATGACGAGAAGCACTCAAGGTGTCATGGGAAATTTATTTTCTCACAAAGGACTAATACATTAAGTCTCGCGATAATAGCGCGTGTGTCGGCCGAATGAGGAAAAGGCAAGGTGAAAGTGTCAGTGCTTAGTCATAGCGCGATTGCGCCCCGCCGTGGGGAAGGCAGCAGCAACGGAGACAGCTTGGAGCTCTATCAACCGACCGACTGCCTGCACGCCCGCCCGCCCAACGCCACAACCACGACACACGACAAACTCCACAATGGCGTCCAGCATCGAGCAGTCGCCCTTCTTCCAACAGCAGCGGGCCAAGGGCGAAATTATCGTCAAGGGTATGATGTCAACCAATCCGGGGCCGCGGGGATGTGCTTGCTAAACGTACTAGACCCTCCCAAATTCGATCTGGAATCTTATATTGCTAATTACACTGGTATGGCTGTCGCGATGACCATGGCACATTCCGCACGTACTCATTTCTGTTGGCAGGATATACACGAATCGATCGTCTCTACCACATTGGCGCTCACTCGCCATACCTCGCCGTCGACGCATACCGCCTCGCCATTGCGGAGGCCAAGAAGGGCAAGAATGTCGGGCTGTACACAAGACTCGTTGAGGATTTTCGCAGTATAGCGCCAAACGACCCCGCTGCCTTGGTAGACACAACATGGGCTGAGAAGAAGACGCGGGAAGTTCGTGAGGAGCATGACAGGCTGGAGCACGAGTTGAAGTCGTACAAGAACAACTTAATCAAGGAGAGCATACGAGTAAGTGGGTAGAGTTGTGGCGCCAGGAACATCGACTCTGACAAGTCGCAGATGGGCAACGAGGATCTCGGTCATTTCTACTACGACACGGGCGACTTCATCAATGCACTCAAGGCATACACGAAGATGCGCGAGCATTGCACCTCGCCAAAGCACCTCGCCGACATGACTCTCCGCCTTGTTTTCGTCAGCATTGCGCAAAAGTCATGGACAAACGTACTGGCAAATCTCGCAAAGTCGGAGGCTACTCAGGTCAAGGGCGAGGAGAAGGCCAAACTGGAACCCATCATATCGGCGTGCAGCGGTCTGTGCCATATGGCCATGGGTAGCTTTAAGGAGGCTGCAACAGCGTTTCTCAGCACATCGGCGACATACCTAACTGCTGAGCCAGCGGCATACATCAAGTGGCAGAAGGAAGTCATTTCGCCAAACGACGTTGCGGTTTACGGTGGTCTCTGCGCTCTTGCATACATGGACCGCAGTGACCTGCAAAGCAAAGTTCTCGGAAACACAGAGTTCCGTAACTTTCTGGAGCTCGAGCCGCATATCCGCCGCGCCATCAACCTTTTCTGCAACTCAAAGTACAGCGCTTGTCTTGAAGTGCTTGAGGGCTACCGCAACGACTACTTGCTCGACGTGTACTTGTCAAAGATTCTGCATACAATCTACAGCCGCATTCGTAACAAGAGTATCGTACAGTACTTCATACCCTTCAGCTGCGTCACGCTGGATGAAATGTCGTCCAAGTTCCCGCCAGCCGAAGGCAGGACCATTGAAGAAGACTTGGAAGAGATGATCAAGAACGGAACCCTCGACGCACGGATAGATCTTGTCGACCGCCTCCTTACGTCTCCTCCACGAGATGCTCGTCACGACGTGCAAGAAGATGCCCTTAAGATGGCTGAGACGTACGAACACACGCTTCGCCTCCGCCTGACGCGTCTGAACATGTTGGCAGCCGGGCTGGAGGTCCAACCAAACAAGACTGGCGATAAACCGGCTGGTATGGGCAGTAGCATAGGCGATACTTTCCGCGGTCTAGGCTCTAAGATAGGCTTCTAGAAGGAGCTGATAAAACGACCCAAACGTTGTAATCATGTGCTGACTAACGAACCGAAAGATTATGCAGGAGAATATGCAACGTGGTTCAGCGGGGGAATCAGCTTGCCCTTTCGACCCAAGCGCAGAAGTACGGGTTAGCATTGCGAGGCGTTCTTCTTCTTCTTGTTGTCGTTCGTGTTGATGATGATGATGATGATCGTTATTTTTTTTTTCTCTGTCTTTTTTTTCATTTTCAGGACAGTCTGGCGCACATGCAGAGATGCAGGATACAGGGACAGGTACGGGCATAGCAAAAGGGGGGCATTTTGGGCGTTTGGAAGGACGCATGGGATGGATTGATGAACGAGTGATTGGATGATTGGGAGGGAGGGATGGAGGTAGTGCTAAGTTTAACTTACGTATTACAAGCAAAAAAATACATTGACTTGTCGAATATGACTAACATTTGCTTTCGTCTTTTTCTCCCTAATTTTCGTCAATTTTTTTTTGATTTCACTCTGATAGAGAGACAGAAAGAAACACACTGGTTTTTTTAAATATGCAAATACGCTACTTACACGATGTGTGTATTTATAAAATTAATCCTCTTCTTTCTTTTTTTTTGAATCCACTCTTGATTGCTTCGTCGTCTCATTCACTCACTCATTCACTCACTCATTCACTCACTCATTCACTCATTCACTCATCCACCCATCCATTAATCTACTCATTAAAAGTATCTTGTCTATTTCTTCCACCCCACCCCGTCCAACGTGCATCCCTCTCTCTCTCTCTCTCTCTCTCTCTCTCCCATCTCCCCATCTCCCCATCTCCGCTGCGAACCCCTTTCCCCCCCTACACACACATACACACATAAACACACACATACACTGATTGTTTCCAATTTGTGTAAACCAAGCAAACTAGACCAAGTCACTAACCAAGTCCCCAAATCCAAGTCCCAAATCCAGGAAAAAAAATCAAGAGAGAAAAGAGATGGAAAAGAGAATTGATGTACATACACATTGGGTATCTAGATGAGACTTTGTGGGGGTTGGTGGGAGAAGGGGGGGGGGTGATAACATTTCACTTTCGTTTACTCTATACACCATACACCTTAGTCAGTGATCAACTCAATGACTCGCTCACGCACTCACTCATGCCTTGCTATGTATATGTATATGCATGTGCTATGATATGATATGATATGATATGATATGGTGTAGTATGCTATGCCATGATATCAAGGGGCGGCGAAAAAAAAAGAACAAGAGCAGCAGCAAGGACAAACAATAATAACGCCATGGTCTTTTATTCAATCAATCAATCAATCAATCAGTCAGTAAACAAGGGGCGGGGAAGTGGTGGGAGAGAGAAAGTTGATGCGCCAGAATCCAAACGAAACGAAACGAAACGAGAAAAAAAAAGACATCATTGTCATCATTGGCATTGGCATCGTCATCGTCATTTGTTATCGTGATATTACAATTGCAGTGGAGAGTAGGGTGAGTGTGCGGACGGGTGGCGGTGGTGGGCGGGTAAGACAAGCAAACATATGATGTAGAGTGATATTGAGGCGAGAGAGTGCCAACATGGATCTTATCGGTATGCTGAACCCCTGGCTGTAACCCACTGGTCCTGTTGCGACTGCTGTTGCTGCTGCTGTGACGGCTGTTGCTGTTGTGACTGGGATTGTTGTGGTTGCTGCTGTTGTGATTGTTGCTGCGCCGTGTTTTGATTTTGATACCCGTAATATGCAGTAGGTGGCCATGCATAGTCTCCTCGTCCATACGCATTATTTGGATCAAGACTCGATGCCGTAGATGTCATGCCCTCGTTACCAGAAAGCATCTGCGGCGCTGTTTGGTTTGGAGCTTGGGATTGACTCTGCGTGGGCTGAGCGTTATTATTCTGCGTGGAGATGGCATTTTGCGTCAAGAGTGAATTCTGGCCACTCATGATGTTGACTGTGTGCCCATTTTGAGGCATGGGTCTATTCAGAGTGCCGTAAGGGGAGTGGTTGGAGTGGTTGACTGCAAAATAGTTTTGATGTGTTTGAAGCTGAGAAGGCTGCATTTGCTGTGCTTGGAGTTGATGTTGCGCCGTCATGGGGGTCTGGGAGGTGCCAAGTTGCTGCTGATGTTGATGTTGATGATGCTGTTGCAAATTTTGCAGGCGCTGTTGAGGAGATTGACTGCCGAGCTTGTATGCTAGCTGCTGTGGAGGGCTACCAATACCGCGCGACGAGCCTTGATTGAGCTGTTGCAGCTGTTGACGGTGGTTTGGTAGCGTCTGCTGGCGTTGCGGGGGTTGTTGTTGCTGCTGTGAAGGAGCACTGGACAGTGTCTGTGACTGCGAGAGCTGAGAGCGATGGCGAATTTGAGGTTGGGTCGGCATCTGTTGCGACTGTTGCTGAACGTGGGTTTGTTGTGAGTGTGTCTGTGACTGGACATGCGTCTGTTGCGATAGCGATCGTGGACGGGATCCCATCTGCGGCGTTTGAGTTGGAGTGATTGAGGCTCGCCTTTCAGTCTCAAACTCTCGTATCTTCGCCCTGGCTTCTTCCAGTTCCCGCTTGAGCTTTTCAAGCTCCGAGACGTCGCTCTCTGAAGTTTGACGGGCGGTTTGGGGTGTCGGCTCTGAAGAGTCGATACGCGGACGCTGGTCCTCGTCGGATGTGGAATCTGGCGGGTAAAAGCATTGCCGTTTCTTATTGATACACGTTTGGCAAATGGGTCTGGTGCCATCACACTGGGTATATGTCAGCTCTGTACAATAGCCAGCGATACTAAATCTGGCAAGTCGTTTTGTAAGCGCACCTTTGTCTTTTTCGCCTTGCAGACATCACAGCTAGTTCTTGACCGCTTCCTCTGCTGTGTTTGGGCGATTTGCGTTTCAACGTGTAGCGTAGGTCGCGGGACCGACGGGGGCTCTTGTGGGGGTAGTGATGGAGCAGGCGGCAAGGGCGGAGTTTCAGAAGGAGTGGATGCTGGTTGCGAGGGCGAATCTACTTGTATGAGCTCCAGAAGCGATCGAAGGCTCTGTGCCCTGAGATCACTTTCAAGCGAAGTGGTGGAGAGTCTGGGGGGCTCTGGCACAGGCTTTGACTTGCTCCTCTTGGTCTTGGGAATGTCCGGGTCCTCGCTGCTCAGCTGCCTCGATCGGCTCGCGAGCCTGGTCAATGCCTCGGGATCGTTCTCCTCAAGATACTTTCGCCGCTTGGAGTCTTTGCGCGGGGGCGGGGCGCGTTCCTCGTACGTCTTGTGGACGGGCACGTGCTTGTAGAAGACGTCGAGCGTCTGTTTGGACGCGGAGAACTTGATGGATAGAACCCCCTTGCAGTCGTAGACGGGCTTGGTGGCGCGCTTGCCCAGTTTCGCGCCCTTGCCGTTGGCAGCACGGTCTTTGTTGAGCAGCGAGTCGTTGCAGTAGTAGGAGAAGCGGAAGCTGTCGTCCTCGCGGCTGTTCCAGCAGTTGTGGAAGCTGTAGCGGTAGCCGTCGATTCTCTGGATCGTGTCGACGCAGCACTTTGCGATTGCCCTCTGCTTGCGCATCTTGTCCTTGGGATCCGGCGTCGGCTGAAGCGCTTCTGCGACAGTCAACTCGATCTTGTGCTCCACTTTCTTGGGCCCATTGTTCGGCTCGAAGGATTCGGGGAAGCTGGGGCCCAGCGCAATTGTGGGGTCTGGCAGAGGCTGATACTGCTGAGGGCCGCCATAGCGGGCGGGCTGGTAGCCGGTGGGTGCATGCGGTTGCTGGTGGGCGAGGCGGGGTGGCGGGGGCTGCTGCTGCTGCTGCGGGTGTTGTTGTTGTTGTTGTTGTTGTTGTTGTTGTTGTTGTTGCTGCTGCTGCTGCTGCTGCTGCTGTAGGGGCGGCGGGGGCTGGGGGGGTTGCTGAGGCTGAGACGGAGTCGAGGTGGAGGTGGAGGCGGGCGGCGGGACAACAAAGCGGGTGCCTATCCAGAAGGAGAATTGGGCATCCGTGTGCTCGGGGTCGTCTGGCGGGGTGCTGAGATAGTCGCGCAGAGACGACTCGAAGTGGGCAAAGGACGTGATGTTGGGGTAAGGCACGGTTTTGGCCTGCGCGTCTCGGGGCTGGCGGCCACGCGCGAGCTGGACGGGGGCGGCGGGCCAGAGGGCTTGGTCGTTGGCATGTCGAAGACTCGTGGGTTGAGCATGGGATGATGCCATGTCAAGTGGAGTCGGAGGGCCCGCGAGCCAGGTTCGAGGTCCCTGGGTACACTATCCCAAGAGTTAATACGGTGTTTTGGAAATGCTAAGAAGGTACCGAAGGCCGTGCCAGCCTTGGCTTTCAGGCCATCACCATGGCTAGCTCGACGGGAACGACGGGTGCGACGACATGGATATCCCGGAAGACGTATCAACTGTGGCGACGTCGACATGGAAGAGCGCCTTTGCATGTAGGCGCTGCTTTTTGGCGACGCCTCTCGCGATGCTGCCAGCCTGGGGGCGTCTTGCACTGGGTCGGTGGGTGGGTAGGGAGGTACCTGGCCGTAGCGGAGGGCGCCCCAGCATCAGATCACCATCATCGCCTGCACGCGCCATGACGCATGTGGTGCGCCCGTTGCGGCTGCGCGACAGGAACTGGGCGACCGTCAGCGGCGATGCCATGAAGCCATCTGGACGTTCTCACGTCAATCATCGACATGGACAGCCATTCCGGTGAGGCGCTGGCACCGGCATGGTCACGTGACGCTGCTCCGCCCCGTATAGCGTATTCTGCCTCTCCGCTCATGGCTTGGCCTCAGCAGCCAACCCATGGGGCGATGCGCTGCAAGTTGTATAGTCGCCCTGCAGCGGTTACCCGTCCATCCACAGCAAAGGAACGGCATGGCAGACTTTTGTTCGTTGGCGCAGGGGGTCTTTGCGTACCATGGTTCTTGACGGCAGGCGGGCGAGCACTCTGAAGCTCGTCGGTATCCCCATGCCCACCACCACCATGATGTCTGCGATACTCAGCTGCTCGCAGCATCGACAGGCACGCCAAGCGTGCGCCCTTTTTTCTTTGCTCGTGCCGGCGGGCCTAAAGGGCGGAAAGGCTGCATTGCACTAGCATCCTCCATAGGCACCAACGCGCCTGCCCGCCGCCGCTCCTGCTCCTTCCCCATACTTATACCGTCCCCCAGTCTGGATTATTCATCCAGCCCTTCTCGCTGCTGTTCGGCGCTTTTCTCCGCTCCTTTTTCACGCCCGTCTCTCCCCATCGGCTAAGCTTGTATCACAACAATGACCGACGGGATCCCCAACAGCCATGTCGCCCAGCCACACCAGCATTCTGTACTAAGCTCCACTTTCCCCGTCTGCCTACCCGAAGATGCAGCCCTACACATGTCCGAAGACGCGTTCCAGAACCTTGTCAAGCAGCAGTTGATCCACGTCGGCCCGACACCCACTACAACTATAGCCAGCAGGGACTCGGCCACCATAGCTGAAGACCAGCCCGTAAGTACCGCAGGCTTGAAGCACAGGGCTTCCCTTGGCGCTGACCACTGTGGCCCGCAGAAAGCCCCGTTGATTACCGGAATCGAGAAGCATGCCGCCAGTCTTCAAATCTCTGAAGATGCTGCTGGCCCGAACCAAACACTGACTGATAATGGCGATGTCACAAACATATCATCCCGGAATCCCCTGGTGGACCTGTTCTATGATCTTGAAGAACAGACGACGTCGGATCGCCTCGAGACTCTGCTCCAAGCTGCCTGGAATGAGGACCCTCTTGTAACACTGAAGGTTGTATTCAATGCACGCAGTATCCATTTGGGCAAGAGCAGCCGAATCACCTCGTATAAAGCCCTGGGCTGGTTGGCTGAGAACCATCCGTTGACGCTTCTGGCTAATCTCAAGTGGCTGGTCCGACCCGTCATCCAGAAGAAGACCGCCAACGCCGAGTCGGCTCATGGTGCCAACGAGGCTGCCCCCGAAAATCCCGACCACGACTTTGAATTAGTAGAAGCACACCAGCCTGATCCTACCACGGCCCATGACGTCCGATACGGCATGTCGCACGGCTACTGGAAAGATCTCCTCAACCTAGTCGTCTTCTCGGCCAACGACGAGCTCAAGTGCGATGGTGACTTTTTCTTTATACTCCACCACGAGCGTGATACTTCTTGTGAAGCCAAGAGAAAGAGAAATTGGGACCCACAGAGTGCCAAGGAGGCCCGAAAGCGCAAGAGGCAGGAGCAAAATGAACGAGTGCAGGACAAGATGAAGAAGGATCCTTTTCACCGTGCCCTACACATCACGGTGGCACGCCTGTTCGCCGAGCAGCTCAAGGTCGACAAAGCCAACCTAGAATCCGGGAAGAAAGCAGACTTGAAGAAGCTCTCGCTCGCGGCCAAGTGGTCGCCAACATTTGGTGGATTCCACGATAAGCATACCTTTATTCTCTCTTCCATTGCCGAAATCTTGTTTCCAGACGCGGCTTTACATTGCCCAGATGCCAGCAACCGCGAGCTTTACCTCCGCCATGCTCGAGACCTTGTTCGCAGGCATTATACATCGCCCCTACGCAAGGCCTTGAGTGTTGTTGAGCGAGAAATTACTGCCAACACGTTTGAAAATATCGAGTACAACCGGGTACCCTCGCTCGCCATGGATCGCTACAGTGAACTCTTCATGAGGAAAGATAGCGAGCGCTTTTCCAACTACATCGATGACGTCACTTCTGGTAACGCATCCATCTCGGGCGCTACCTTGCTGCCATCTACCTTGATCAGCAAAGCACGCAGGCTGACGAATCTCCGCTCCACGAATAAGCTGCAAAACTTCAAGGCTGCCAAAGAGGCTGCCCAAACCAAAGCAATGAGAAAAGTCATCGATAGTCAGTGGAAGACACTTGTCAAGCGCGTACGTGATGCAGGTGCTCTACAATCTAGCATTGCAGTATGTGATGTTAGCGGCAGTATGGGCTTTCCAATGTTCAGGGACCAGTCCTGCCCTATGGACTCGGCTATAGGCCTCTCACTCCTCATCTCCGAAGTGACCGCACCTCCCTTTGGCGGTGGCTTCATCACTTTCTCCTCCACCCCAGCGTACGTCTCCATAAAAGACAGCTCCACCGGACTTGTTGAGCAGGTGCGGCACATGGAGAACAGTGACTGGGGAATGGACACAAATTTTGTCGCCGTCTTTGAAGACATTATTCTCCCCATGGCCATTGCCAACAAACTCAAGCAAGAAGACATGGTCAAGCAAATCTTTGTCTTCAGCGACATGCAGTTTAACCAGGCATGTCAATCGGAACATGTTTGGACAACGTCATATGAGCGCATCAAGACTAAATACGCCGACGCCGGCTACGCGATGCCGCGTCTGATCTTCTGGAACCTCAATGCAATCGACACAAAAAAGCCCGTTACCATGGATGATGCTAATACTGTGCTGGTTTCGGGGCACTCTCAGGGCATGCTCAAGGCGTTTTTGGAGACGGGCGCGCTTGACCAAGAAGAGGACATTGTGGATGAGGAAGTAGAGGGTGAGGATGGTATGGTGGCAGTTGAGAAGACGGAGAAGAAGATTGATTCGTTGATGGTGGTGAAGAAGACGGTGGGCCACGAGGCGTATAGCATGCTCGAGGTTGTTGATTAGCTGCAAAAGGGGTTATTGTTCTGGTGCAGGCTGTACGACACACGGGGCATAATGACACTGCGATGACGGGTACGATCTTCGCTCTGAAGAAGTTGATTCGAATAACTAGATACCATGGTCGACCGAGACTGATGGCGATGGATTTCGTCGATAATCACACTGTGCGCATCGTTCAGCGCGCGTCGGGGCCGCATGGTTCCTCTTGCGCAGTCGAAACGCAGACGGTTAGTGGTAAGCAGGCCGGGTAAACTCGATGGAGGTATAATGCCGGTGCGATATTGGGTTTCTGTCGAGAGGAGAGTCGGAGGCGCCGCCGTCGAATGCTCGCCGCGACATGCCGTGCATAAGTAGCCATGGCTAGCTCTTGTTGCGCTGGAGCGGACAATGGCCGTCAGCTCTGCCTCAGACATGTTCTGAAGCGCAAGCCCGTCTACCAATCATCATCACTACCCTCGCCCGCAATCTCCGCGCCCTTGACCCTATCCACAACCCTCTTGACGCCCTTCTCGACGCTCTCGCCTTCCATCGCCACGCCCTCGTGCCACACAATCGGGTCCATGACGCCGTCGTTGAAAAACATCAGCATGGGCACAAACGTCACCTCGAGCTCGGTGCCCAGCTCCGGGAGCGAGTACATGTCGAAGCAGTAGGCGTCGACGACCTCGTGCTGCGCATAGCTCTCGCGCGGGAGCAGCTTGTGCAGCGCCTTGATGACTTGTGTCGACGTCGAATCGCCCGGCCAGAAGGCCAGCAGTATGGTTTTGCCTGCCGTGACCTTGATGCAGGCCACGTATTCGGCGAGACTGGTTATTTGCGTGAGATGCTGCGACATTTGATTGACGGAGGAGCGTGGTTTGTGGCCTTGAAGCTGGCAGGTCGGGAGAATTCTGACCTGAGCTATGTCAAGGGCGACGGCATTTAGCGCTGAGCTAAGTAAGCTTTGTCTGATCCGACCTTTGCCTTCGGCTGCCGCACCCAACTCACTTGGATGCGACTTCTCCGCCCGCTCGCCTTGGTGATAAATAGTGGTATTATTACCGTGCCAGCCCACGCCCGTCCTGCCAATTCCCAACACGCATCTTCGCATCATCTCGCAGGACTGCAATCTGTCGTCGTTCCTCCGTGACCGCGTCATTCGTTGCTGGCCAGCATCAAGGCTAAAGATCACGTAAGGCCGCAAATGATTGGTAGGAAATATGACCGAAACCCTCAACGGCAGTGTTTTCGAAACCGTCACATTTCCTTTGGGTCGTCGCTTACTATGGTAAGAATCATGCCAGCTAGGGCTGCTTGCGGTTGCAAAAATACTGTCTCGTATTCCCCTGGCCCAAGCAGCCAACCAAGACAGTGTATTAATGCCTCACCTAACTCTAAGGAGATGTCTTATCGTGAGACTCGATTCAATCAGCGGTCAAAGGCTATATCTGGCCGAGCAGAAAAAGCTTATACATAAGCACATGGGCATGGGTCCCCCCGGCCTGCCAGCGAAACGGCGAGATTGTCCAAACTTTAACCTGTATATATGTCAGAGGAGGGTATTAGTTCCACCTGACACGTTCCAAACGCGTCCTTTGCTGTGCTTTCAGGTCAAAGAAAATTATCACGATGTTGAGCAATCAACTGTTGACGAAACGGTGAGTGCGGATTCATTCTACGAAAAAAACCTCGGGGCCCACTGCGAAGGCCACTACGGAATTCGTTGCATCCAAAATTAGAGAGACCGGTTCAAGCCGGCCCTTTCGTTTGACGACACTTCTCTGACGATTCTTCCGACACGCAGATACACATTAGTAGCCACAGCTCTCATTATATCTATTGTTCTCGTCGCCAGTTTCCGCGATGCCATTCCCATCCAGGACTACCGCAACTTTGCCTTCAGCGAGACCGTAGTACCGATCCAGACGAGCAACAACGGCCCGCAGCCAGCACACTATAAGACGCAACCGGAATGGAACTGGGTAGTCCCCAAATACGCCAGCAGTTTTGACGGATATGCCCGGAAACCACGGAACAAGGATGTCATTGTCTTGACAGCTAGTGATGGACTCGGCCACAACAGTGAAATCCCCAACCTGCTGGACAAAGTTCTGGACGACCGGGCAAAGTACTGCGCCAAGCATGGGTACACGAATCTCTGGCTCAACACCAGCCGATACGACGTCGGAGACTCTCACAGGGTAATACATGACTCTTACAGTCAGACCACTGGCATGACACCGCAACTGACATGTTCTAGGTGTGGTCCAAGATCCCCGCTCTCGCAGAAGCATTCTACCTGTATCCCAGTGCAGAATGGGTATGGCTGATGGACGCCGACATGGTGCTAATGAACCACGACTACTCGCTCGTATCGGAAATTCTGAGTCCCGCCGCAATCGACAAAGGCATTCTCCGGAACCAGCCGCTCCTGACAGGCAGCCTGAAGAACGCCATGTACGAGAACCTGCACACGCCCAGCGACTACCGCGTCGAGAACATCGATATCCTGCTGACGCAGGACCACCACTCCATCAACGCGGGCTCCGTTTTCTTCCGCCGCTCCGCCTTCACCCGGTTTTTCCTCGAGGCCATGACCGACACCATGCTGACGGGCCGCGAGCACGGCAACGCCGAGCAAGACGCCATTCTGCACATGATTCTCGAGCACGAGCTCGTGCGCAAGCACGTCGGCGTGTATCCCCAGCGCAAATTCAACTCGTACACCGAGGGCGGCGACAAGATGGGCTACAAGGAGGGCGATCTCGCAGTCCATTTTGCAGGCTGCTGGGTCGAGCACAATTGCGTCGAACGCTTCAACAAGTACTGGAATATGAAGGACCGCGGCACAGATATGCTGAGTAGAGATCAAAAGCTGCGATCCTCTCATTCTCC